AAGTCCAGAAAGAGCCGGAGACATTCCATCCAATCACTGCTGATGGAACATTGTAGAATGTCGACATGTAGCTTACCCATTGAATGGATAGAAATGACCCCTATGTGCCTATTGGTTGCCAAAATGATGATTTACTCTCAGTAAAAAACTCTAAATACATTACATTTCTGTACTTTATTTGACGCTGTTTTGGGGAACAAAATTCCTACTTACTAGTCTTCTGTCTTCTCTCTTGCGACGTTGCGAGTTCAATCGTTCAAGTAGTCTAGTAATGCGCGGCATAGTAAGAATCAAAGCTCTAGATATGACAATAACATATATATGGATAGTCTAAGAGAAAATATATACATGTTAAGAAGTATCATAAGCATAATAAATCACTTAAAGAAATAATAGAACTCTCTTGAATTACTTTCGCGATTTAGATTATCCAATAGATTTGGCGCATAAAAAGCCATTTGTGGCATCGTATAGACTAAAAAAGAACCAAACGAAATATGTAGAGTAGTGAGAATGCTTGGTGTTGTTGACTTTTTGTCATTCGGTCGATTCAGTACAAATTCAAGAGTTCAGATAAATATATGGTTGTCACTGTATGAACCATCGTAAGTTTTCGGCACATTGTTTTCACTTTAACGCAATTGGAACTCGAAAATTGGAAATTAGAGAGGCAGTGGTCGGAAGAAAAGATATTTGGAGATAGTCCATGGTTTAAAATGGCGTAGAATGTCAAGTGAAGAGTCCGATCCAAATAACTATACAGACCTCGCTTACATTAATTGCTATCCTATGTGTATTTAGATTGATTAAGGCCATGTTTGTTAGTGCTTGATGTAGTAACAAGTTTATTTCACTGAAGCATGTAAATGTACCATCGTAGATACACACACATATATATATAGTGCAAATATAATGGTAGACCTAGTCCCAATATTGTAAATTTGTAACGATGTGACTACCTAGTCTATGAGATCCTACGTGGAAATCACGTTATAATTTTACTGACTCGTCCTATCGTGAAAATCAGCAGTACGATTTTTGGTACTTCTGAAGAACACATTTGGGCTTGGGATAGAACAATATATATTTGACGTGAAAAGGTATGAATTGCACAAGAAAGACCACGCCTGTAAGGCTGAACCATGTCAAACCAATCATTAGTTGCCACCTTCAACATTGGTGACCTACCCGTGTTAAGTGATGGTTTTTGAGAAACCACTAGTATATTTTAAGGTAGCTGTCAGTTCGTGAATGCACTGCGATCGGTAGTGGTTTTCGTGTTAAGTCTGTAGTATCAGTTTATATGTTAAGCCCATATACTTTATTCTAGTTGCTGACCAAGCCAATTTGCCTATCCATTATGAGTCATATTTTTATCTTGTTAATCATTTGCTTATTAACCTTGACTATACTTTTATATGAGCATATATGTGTACACTTCGTATCTTATTCAGCGTATGTCTGTCACTCATTTTTGTCCGACTATAAATGTTGATTAACGCTTGCTTAAATCGAGTTGGCTTCCCAGCCATCTCCAATGCGCGTTATTTTTGTTCCGCTCTCATTTGTTTGCTTCATTACTCTGATTCTCTGGCCAGATCGATGAGTAAAGAAAATATATGTATTCTAAATCCATTCTCGTATTTGACTTATTGAATTCCGTTATTCACCAACGCCGATAAAGTCATTTATTATATACGAGTATAGACAGAATCAGATTTACGCCACAATATTACTGGATACCTCGCCGTACGAGCACGACGCTACAGAATCGGATACCTCGCCGAACGAGCACGACGCAACAGATTTGGATACCTCGCCGAACGAGCACGACGCAACAGAAGTCTTCGATAATCACCAGTTAGACACCAATCATTGCTATATTTTCTTAGGACCATATACGAAGGGGATCACCACAGGCTGTTCGATGGCCAAATAATCCCCAAGTTTATTATATGTTCGAGATCGTCTTTGGCCAACCTTAGATTTTCGGGATCTGATTGGCGCGCTTTTGATAATACAGGTGGTCCTTTAGTTGTTATATGATGTTTAACATTGATGGTTACACGATAGTTTCGGTCATGCTTTTTACTATTCAAGATACTTGTCGAGTGTCTGTTAAAAAAGGCGGATCGATCATTTGTTAAATTGTGACCAGGGATAACCTACAACCAGAAAATGAATTTGCACAAACAAATGATTTAATATCAGTGTCCAACAACTTCTGTTTCCTTGGGTCTACGAGTACGTCATGATGTTGTAGCAGTTCAATGCCAATGATTATCATAGAAACATCTGCAACAACGGAAATCCAATTAATGGGTTTGTTCAAACCCATGTTAAGATACATATATTGCTTACCATATGTAGCGATCTGTTTCTCATCTTGCCACCTATAAGTTGAATACTGCCTCATGTAGTTGGTAGTTAGTAGAAAAAAATAATAAAAGCATTTTTCGCTATTTCAAACATATCCTACTGATGATACATATTTATTACTTATTCAAAGATTAGAATTAAAAATAAACAAATCAATCTTTAGGGGTTTTGTGGAGATTTCAGTATTTTCATAATTGAAATCATGAGTCAAATGAAGCTAGACCACAATGGAAAACCTGGAAGCAGTGGACGAAGTTTTCGTCCTAATGTGGAACTTCTCAGCTGTGCGCATCTACGATCACGCCTCATGAGATGCCGGCTCAGTGGTCTATAGGTTAAGTTGTCTGGCGTGAGACTGGTAGGTCCTGGGTTTGAATCTCGCGAGGCGGGATCGTGGATGCACACTACTGAGGAGTCCTATAAGAGGAAGAGTTGGCTGTCCAGTACTTCTAGGTTTTTCATGGTTGTCTATCTTCAATTGACTCATGATTTCAACTATGAAAATCAATTTTTAATGAGCAATAAATGTAATCTGAAAACAACACTTACTGATTGATCCATTAGAAATGTCATCATAATAACTATGGGTGTGTGTGTGTGTATGTTTAACACCAAACCGGTAAGAATACTTAAGGTCACTAAACTGAGATCATTTCAAGGACACTCTATCCTTAAAAAGTCTATATAGATCTATCTATGAGTATATTAAGGCATATAAAGTTCAAAATTCTACCATAAACCATCTTAGAATGCTTGATGAATTAGTTAAAGATCATCTTAGTCGGATACAACTAGTTATGATATATTACTTATTCAATAATTCATTTTCCATCCATATCTCTATAGGAATTAGATAAATATCGAAAATATCCTTTACAAATGGATGATAATAAATTGGAAATGCATATAGAATTAAATAATGCAAGATATCGTCAAGCTTATGAAAATATTAAAGTAAGAATTTCATGAAAACAATATGAAATTTATATTTATTTAGTATTGAATAAGCAAGTGGTTATCAGGACTCAGTGGTCGAGTGGATAACGCGATGGCGTTTGAAGCGAAAGGTACTACTGGATTGGAGTCTCAGAGTGAACATCAACTTTGAGATGTAGGTACATCCAGCTGACGAGTGCGAAGTGGGACGAAACGTGCGTCAAACTGGATTCCACTGTTAGCCACCATCTATCTTTGCTTACTATGAAATTTATAATTTGTTTTTCATCATTTGGTTTGTAAGTGTTCGATATTGGATGTTGATCACATTAGTTTTAATGGACTCATCTAGCTGAAGGTATTCGGTCATGTATCCGTATCAGATCTCGATTCGGAATGGCGTGATCAACGTTTAGATTAGTCACTTATCAATTTATTGATAATCTATCAAATATATCTTCCAACCTCTTCGCTTCTGACTTTTGATTTCATTGTGTGAGCGCGATTCAATTATAGAAGCTGTTACTGGTAAAGTGTTGTCAAACTAAAATACCTGTGGTATCTTCAGTTTATTTACTTACTAATGAACAGCTATTTCATCTTGGCTTGAGATTTTTCACCAGTGTACATTCCCTAGTGCTAATCTCGTTCTGTTGATTATGTTCTAATGTTGATCACCAGTGTAAATGAATTATTGTCACGTCCATCATATGTTGACGTACTTAGAGATTGAAAACAAAATCCTAAAAACAAATAATATCATTTTTATAGATAGTTTGTGGATGGCGTCGAGTCGCAATTGATTACAATCACCACTACAGGAAGATTACATAACAATATCGATTTGGATCCCTTGGTATGCCAAATATTAAAAGGCTGTTGACGTTTGAAATAAGATAAATTTGTTGGCGATCTCGTGGTATCGAAAGAATACAGAGATGTGTCAAAGTTTATAAGCCGAACTGCCGAGCGTAAGCGAGTTCGTGCAAGGTCACAGGCAACAGAAGGAAGAGTGTCTTTGATACACATAAACAAACAAGTACAGTAAAACAATCACTGGTACAATTGGTTATAATAATAGTTGTTTTCATTATACCAATCGCGTTCTCGTCACAAAAGTAGGTCACTACTAGTTTTTGCCAAGAACTGACATCATTTGAATACCGTTGAAAACTAAACATCACTGGACATTTATTTCGTCGCTATATGGAATTTTTCAAGAGTATGACATAAAGAACAATTATAGAAGTTCATAAAGAGATAACAGTTCGGAAAATTAGAACATAAAGATGGTAATATAAATCATTAGTAATGGTTGTCAATATTCAAAGCTGTTGTAGAACATCAACGTCGATGATCTGTGTCGAATGATTGGAGTTAGACGGGAACGGTATAACGAACAAGCTAACTTCGAAGTCACACCTCGCAACCAACACCTTACGTGGATTGCCTCATCGACACAACAAGGGATCATGGATGCTCTGAAGACTGTTCAACACAAAGGACGTTATTACAAAAAATATATTAGGTAAAGTAGATACAAGCGAAAGTAGAACCACTGCCGCATGGGCCAGTCCATGGCGTATGATTAACTGATGCGCGTTGATTGTCCTCGACCTTGACGGGGATTGATGATCTGTTCGTTATTTAGTGACCCAACTGCCGGATGATTTGGCTTAGGGTTCAGTGACATTTCACTGGCCCTACACTGTGATCAATAATTCATTTTTGGAATATAGTATCCTGAAATAATGCCTCAACAATGCCTTTTAATTAGAAACTAATCTGTAATTTGATACCCGCTGATCAAGTTATTGGTAATTTGGACTTGGTACTTTGGTGAATAATGAGTTAGCGTTTAAACCGACAAGTATAAGATTTGATTTTCTGTGTGCAACTCAACACTGAGATGCAACCACGACTAATCCTCAATACAGAGTAAAAGGTATCCTGAAGTTCACTGCAAACTAAAAAACTGAGCAAACTAGAGACCGGAAGTTGAGATTAATGTATATGTATATATAGGATAGCTAGTCATATATGTAGTTAAGCTAAAGTCATAACTAATTATAAAAGTAAGTGATGTTTTGATTAAACTACTCGGTCATAAAACGAAACCCAGTGAGTGAAAGTTAGTAGATCAGTGAAAAAAATGGAATTATGTAATTTGTTAAGTTGTTCACTTAGTATTGTTTGTTTGAATCTTCCCATTGATGTTTTAGGACTGCGATTGGTCAGTCTCTAATTGGTATATATGCATACTGTGCGTACTGCCTTGATATAGCCTTAATTCACATGCATTGTAAGCAAAGATGGATAATGGCTAGCAGTGGAATCCAGTTTGATGAGCGTTTCGTTTTATTTGGGACTCGTCCGCCGGATGTACCTGCATCTCAGAGTTGATGTTCACTCTAGGACTCGAACCCATTACCGTTCGCTTCAAACGCCATCACGTTATTCACTTAGCTACTGAGTCCTGATAGCCACTTGCTTGTGAGATGGGGTGAAGTTTAAATTCGTTTAGTATTGTTTGTTTGAATCTTTCCAGAGTCCCAAAGTGAACATCAACTATGAGATGCAGGTACATCCAGCTGATGTGTACCGAATAGGATAAAACGTGCGTCAAACTGGATTCCACTGCTAGCCACTATCCATCTTTGATTACATTACGTAAATTAGTTTGCTTTCATATGGGTCTTTATACCCTTTTTGGTTATTAGAATTAACTAATCAAATGTTAGTTTATTTTCGTATTCATTAACATAGGGTATTTTTGTGTTTTATTTGTTATCCATATAGGCATTAAAACAATATACAGAATCATCCAGCCGATCAATGCAAACAACAACTGATGTAGGTTAGTTTAAATGTTGTATAAGATAATGATGGGATAAAAGAGGCAACATTAAATTGTTTTATTCATTGTTATATTTGGTTAACATGACTTCCGTTTATTTAAATCAATATGATGATTATTCAGTGTAATATTTGCTTTATTTCCAGTGTGATGTTTTATTCGGTCTCGGACGAGAGAGCTTAACCTCTAGACCAATGACTCAGTATCCAACGGTGTTGATGTCTAACTTCAATCAATCGGTGAAATTGAGCGACACATCCACCATTGTCCTCAGTGATTTGCTATCTCACAACAGACAGGGTTGAACTCCACTGGTCACTGCTTCTCACTAGGACTCCATATGTTGAATAATATCAGAAGAGGTTTTTGTAGATATTATAGTAATTTTAATAGTTGAGATCATTAGTCAATTAAAGCCAAAACATAATGGAAAACCTGGAAGCACTGGACGATCTGGCGAAGCGAGATCGTGGATGTGCACTTCTGAGGTGTCCCACAATGGGACGAAACGGCTGTCCAATCCTTTCAGGTTTTCAATGGTTGTCTAGCATCGATCGATTCATGATCTTAATCAAAATGTAAACGACCAGGGTCGTCACGTTTTGCGTTTAAGAAATCTTCACTTGTATCAGTCTTCGTGTTCTAATTTCGCTTCGTGGGAGTTGCAGTGGTTATTAGTTTCATAAGTATAAATAAATACCTATTTCGACATAACAATTCACAAAGGGAATACTAAAACTCTGAATTCATAACAATAAAACTTTTACATTTCAACTTAACATTTACTATTTTATCACATATATTAACAGACAGATAGGAAACTACAAAGACCGATATAAACTAACGGTCAGGTAGGTTAAAACAATAAACAGGTAGTCGCTATATTTAGATTTTCAGTCGGTTTTCACTCACAAACAATACATAAATATGAAACTTTAGCTCTTTATAAACAACAAACTAAAACATTCATAAATTATTGGGTAAGTTACCTGGTTGTATAAATCCGCCTGTCGCCCCTCCAGGGGCTAATCTCAGTCCCAAGCCCGGATAAGGGAGTGGCATTGGGTATGGAGTTAGCGACTCAATCCCGTAGAAAACTAACTCTCTAAAAAAACGCTAATCAGAAAAAAACGCTAACACGACCTGGTTATATGTTCAAAAAAAGTAATTGAATAATTTTAAATATACACTAACGTAACGAAAAGATGTAACTTATTATTTATTTAACAAATGAATAAAGACATTTAAAATGAATCAAGATTATCATAGTTGAAAGGGTTAGTCAATTGAAGCTAGACCATCAGGGAAAACCTGGAAACACTGGGAGGCCGTTTCATCCTATTATGGGACTCCTCATCAGCGCGCATCCGCGACCTCGCCTCACGAGATTCGAACTCAGGACCTACCAATCAAGATTGGTTACACTATCTCCTAGGACATTACATGGTATTAGATAAACTCTAATGAGTGTTATTTCATGAAGTAAGAGAACTAAATAAATGAGATCATTATTTTTTGAATGATTTTTCCTTAAATCATGAATCACTTCAAATTTATAAACATTTGTTTAATTCGAAATATTGTCTTTACTATTCAAATCACTAATACCGGTATACGAGTTATAGCAGTTAGGTAACTTTCCCAATGGGTACATAAATTTAGACGAAATGTACAACATCCTGTTTGATCAAGTCAAAGATGACTTTCTTATTGTTGTGAAGGATACTGATATACGATGTGCTATGAGCTAACTGCCTCAACTGACTACTTGAGCGAGAACACAAGAGTGAGAGATAAAGTGTATTGGGTTAACGAATAAAATACACAAATCCTCTTTCATATGTATACCACATTAATCCTTAGGAACTCGGTCCATCTCTTAGCCAATGAAACGCATTTATCCTTCGGGTTACTTCTGATTGACTCTCCATATCACTTATTTCTATGTCATCACATTATTGATTCTTAAATAGTCCCAATTAGCTAGTAGTAGTAATAATAATAATAATAGTGTGGTGTGTGCTGCTTATGTAGACATACATAAGTAGTATGCAACACTGATCAGAAATGGAATACCTGTTAAAAGAAGGTTGAGAAGAATGAACTGGAGAAAACAAAGAGGGGGAGAAACATAAAGGAAATTGAGGAGTGGAAGAATTACGAATGATGTGAAAGACGATTAGACAGATGATTTGCAAACGAAGTATTTAATGTATGGTTTCCACATTTAAGGAAGAAGTTGGTTGCCCTCACCTCAGTTGTCGTTTACTACATTATTAATAGCATTAATGTAGTGAACACGAACGTCAGTGAGGACAACCGGATGCACTACAAAAGACAAACTTACAGAACATCTTACTAACATCTTGTCTTAGACTTTACTGTCCCTTTATCTCCATACCAATTGCTTTGTGTTTCTGTTTTTCTTAATCTTCTACTGCCAGATATTTTACTCTTGACTCATGATATATACTACTTATTACTTAAAATAGATCGAAAAAATGATCTAGAAAGTTTCATGAAAATGATGATGCTTCAACAATTTCAACAACAAAATTTATTATATCAATCTGCCTTATTAAATACATTGACTAAAGGTTAGTAAATGATTGATTTAATCATTATATTATGGTTAGTTGTTTTTGTGTGCATAGTAGTTTAACAGAAGGGGTTTTGTGAAGATTTAGTATTTTCGTAGTTGAAAGTGTAAGTCAATTAAATCTAGACCACCATGGAAAACCTGAAAGCACTGGACGGACAACTAGTCTTATTATGGGACTCCTTAGCAGTGCGCATCCACTATCCCGGCATTCGCAAGATCCGAACCCAGGACCTACCAGTCTCGCACCAGGGAAACATAGTTAACATCCTAGACTGATCTTGGTTAAACAAATATTGAAAACTAGAAGACATTGGAAAGTAATTTTGGTCCTAGCATCGGACCCGTCAGAAGTGCCTAACCACGGTCTCATTTACTTGGGATCAAACCCGCAAATGTTCAACCTTCAAACCACTGAGCCAGTATCCAAAGGTTTGCATTGGTTAAGTTTAATCAATTTACAATATCACGCGACCGTATTACAATTTACTCGATGAATATACGACATGGTCTAAATCTGCCGGTTACTGCTTTTCATTAGAACTCCGAGATTACCATTGGAAGCACAAGAATAATTACTGTAAGGGAGATTTCCTGAACCTTATAAACAGTACTGAGGAGCAACATACAAAGACGAAACGGCTGCCTAATGTTTCCTGGTTTTTAATATCTGTCTAACTAATACCAGTCCATGATGTTAACCATGAAATTAAAAAACCGTCATAAACCCCATTTATTATTCCATGGAACAATCATTTTGTAGTACTTTAGGTTACTTTTATATATAGCCATAAGAATGGTGAAGCCTAGTAGGCCCTTCTGGAGAAGAGTGCTACAATGAAGCACGGCATAACTACCGGGGCGGGATAGCTGTTTCTGCACTGCTTACGCAGAACCATTACATAATACTCACAACTCATTTTTGTTTTAATTTTTTATTATTTTTTTGGGTAGACTCACTTTTTTAACAACACTTTTGAACCCTGAATAGTTATGCAATGAATCTTTGTAGCATTCGTAATCGTTTGCGGGTATTGGTAGAGTGGTTGATTAGACCGATCTCCACCACCCACATTACCGCTCACGTTAGTACATGATATGGTCGCCATGATCCAGGAGGCACGGCGAGGACGTGTGAGTCGGATTTTGCCTCCCACTTTTCTATATAGTTATCATTATTAAAAAAGGGAGTTTACGACAGTTATGGAGTTTAAAAATATCAAACATCATTAACTGACTTCAGCTAGACAACCGTTGTATATCAGGAAGTACTGGAGGGCACTGGCTTAATTCTGATTTGATATTGCAATCAGCGGTATTTGCTTCAGTGCTAAAATTAAAAAATGGACCTCACCGGTTAAACGTTCATTAGAACTTGAGAGATTCTTCTGAAATTAACATATAAACCTTTTATAGAGACTCTTAACCACCTTTCTGTTGCTTCCTTTGAAGGCTAAGAGAGTGGGAATTTCTACAACTCATCAGTCATGTAAAACAAGTGAGTTGTGCTGTTTGATTTTTACGGATGCTTTTGAAAAATCTGGTCGACAGATAAAGAATGTATTTGTAGTAATTAAGTCAGTCGAAGGTCAGGATTGTGATGTTGTGACAAATGACTAAAAATTTGCTACGATTCAATGGTATTAATAACTTTTATCATATTCAAACAAATACTTACTTACTTACACCTGTTACCCCTCGTCGAGGAGCATAAGCCGCACACCAGCATTCTCCATCCAACTCTGTGCTGGGCAATCCTTTCCACTTCTTTCCAGTTGTTATTCATCCTTTTCATATCTGCTTCTATTTCCCGACGTAATGTGTTTTTTGGGCTTCCTCTTTTCCGTTTCCATTTCGGATTCCAAGTTAGCGCTTGCTTTGTGATGCAGTTTGGTGATTTCTTTAATGTATGTCCGATCCACTTGAAACATCTTTTTCTAATTCAAACTAATGGCTAGTTCCAAATAAATAGTTTGTTAGAATGAATAGCTGAGGAGTTTCCGTCAAACAATCATATGTAAAGAGTACTTTATCTGGTTTGAAATTCTTCAGATGAATTTACTTTCAATTCAGTACCATTCGATGCTTTCGACATTCAAGCAGGACAAGTGTCTTATTGGATGCCAGAAATGAAATAGTATTTCTTACATTCTTACAACTAATTTTATATAAAAAAAGGATAGAGATGTTTATAAGGGGTTATGTAATTTTCATAGTTGAAAGCATGAGTCAGTTAAAGCTAGATCATCAGGGAAAACCTGGAATCACTGGACGGCTGTTTCGCCCTATTGTGGGACTCCTCAGCGGTGCGTATGTAATTGTCACAAACTTTATCAATAAACTTATCGATTTTACTTCTATACTATTTGCTTTTATAATCTAGAAGAACGTGCACAATATATAACACATTATCTTCCATATGGAGATATTATGAAATCAGATGTTGAGCGTGAAAAGAAACTATTAGCTTTGGAGAATGAAAACGGTAAGGAAAAAAGGATTCTTATTCTGGAGTTATTGGATTTCTGTAATAATATATTATAATTACAAGTGTAGATGTATTGTGTATTTATCTAACTAACTAACTGACTAGTTGATGCCCTGGTACGGCCGAGAGTGAGGAGGGGCCACCATTCCTCGAAATGCACTCACACGGCCACGCATATACAGCTTCTAACAGGGAAGTCCAACTCACTGCATTCTCGTGCCACAGGTGTTATTTACGAAAGTGAGAAAAGCGAATGTCCGGCGCTTTAACCGGGTTGGTGGACACAGAAATTTCACCTAGGGGAGTTGGAAAACTATGCTTCAGTTTGGGCACCCGGATAGTATCACAGCCATCACACAAGTCAAATGAGATTTGTGTGGTGCATATGTATCTGGTGCTATCTTGTACCAATATTTATGTGTTTAAATACATAAATAAATAAAAATGTAAAGCTATTTCAGACTTATTCTCAAGTTCTTATGCTAACCGAAGTTTTCAGGACAATTTTCAAATACTATTTATGTTCCTTCAACCTTACATTCAATTGCCCTGGATGTTTCTCCACATAAGCTTCATTACAATCATGACAATGAATCTCACAGACGATTTATCGTTATTCTTCCTTTGATAACCTATCCTTAACTTTCATTAATGCCGATCTTATAGTGCCACACATCTGAAAATACACTCTTATATCATGCTTCCTTTCCAATGTGAAAATTCATAATCAGTTTTATAAATACATCTATAGTGAGATTATAAGTTATGAATAAGTTTTAGGCAACATTAAAATAACTTTGAAAATGTTCACCTGATTACCGGGGTTAACTAATGGTTATAAATTAATATGAGGAATTAGAATTAGATTCAATGTTTTCATCACAAAATGATATCAGTTATAAGGTTGAAATAGTACTTAACTAAATGAGTAAATGAATTTCGCGCTAAAATCCATGATCTGATTGGTTCTGTTGTATGCTAAAGAGAATTATGAATGATAATTTTGAGAACTATCTCTGGACCGATCAAATATTTATATTTCCTATTGTATAATTGTTAAGTAGCCTAACTATTCATATTCATGTTCCCCTTAGTATAAGCTTTATTTTGATCCATAGAGCATTACTATACGGCTTACCATTCCTGAGTTATCCCCAGTCTATTAATTACTATTCCCCCACATTCACAGCCACATTTGGCCAAATCTATTTTATGGTACGATGTGGCCAGTTTGTTTGATATATAAACTCAGTATGTTTGAAATATAATGATTCATATTACATAGCTTGTTATTGGTGTTCTGGACTTAACTGACTAGGCTAGGCAGATAGCATGATTGATAAGTACTCAGGACTACTCGTACGCTTTTCGCGTGTATCATTGCTCTGATCGATAATTCAATTCTTTGTCGTTGAAGGGAGGATCATCACGTCATATAGTAAAAAAACAGGGCACGTACGCATGCGCTCGGAATAGAATTGTTAACCAACACCAAGATCAGAATTTTTAATATAAATGTCAAGACAGTTCTACTGTATGGGGCGGAGACGTGGAGAACTACGAAAACCATCATCAGGAAGAAACCAGTGTTTATTAACAGTTGTCTATGCAAAATACTTCGGATCCGTTGGTCAGACAGTATGAGCAACATTTTACTGTGGGAGAGAACAAACGAGATTCAAGAGGAGGAAGAAATCAGGAAGAAGCGATGGAAGTAGATAAAACACATACTGAGGAAATCACCCAACTGCGTCACAAGACAAGCACTCACATGGAATCCTAAAGGCCAGAGGAGAAGAGGAAGACCGAAGAACACATTACACTGAGAAATGGAGACAGACATGAGAAGAATGAACAGAAACTGGATAGAACTAGAAAGGACAGAGTGTGTTGGAGAATGCTAGTCGGCGGCCTATGTTGCTTTGGGAGTAACAGGCATAAGTAAGTGAGTAAGTAAGTAACGCATGTACTTGATATAACCGATTCATTCAGAAATTATAGTCTCACTACATATATTTTGAAGCTTTTACATAAGAATCCCCCATTTTCTTGGGGGGGGGGCGAATGTGAATTTGATTGAATGATACAAATTTCATTTTATTTTTACAGCTAGAAAACGTAATCGATCATTTCGAAGTTCCAGTGGGTTACAAAATAATGGTATCCAAATTATTGTTCCCTTATTAACAAAAACAAAACATTATTTTCATAGAAAATGCAAGTAAATTACGTATCTTTGGTTATATTCACTTATTTGCTGTTATTATAAAACAATCAATGACACAGGTAAATTACAGTTTCCAGTTGTATGAATGAGTTCCTTTTTGTAGTTCATGATTACTTACTTATTTACGCCTGTTACTCCTGCAAAGTCGTGCATGGAGAACAGCTGACAGATGCATTTCCAGTAAGGACCGGAGTCAAATAAGGCTGTATATTCTCCCCATTCCTCATTCTTCTGGTGATTGACTGGATTATGAAGACTTCGACATTTGAGAGGAAATACGGAATATAATGGAAATCTCAGAATCAACTAGATGATTTGGACTTCGCAGATGACCTAGCCCTCCTCTCTCATACACACGACCAAATGCAGATGAAGACAGCAAATGTAGCAGCAGCCTCCGCATCGATAGGCCTCCACATTCACAAAGGAAAAAGCAAGATTCTCAAATACAACACGGAGAACACCAACCCAATCACACTTGATGGCAAAACTCTGAAAGAGGTGGAAACATTCACATACCTGGGAAGCATCGTTGATAAACAAGGAGGATCGGATGCAGATGTAAAGGCGAGGATTGGCAAAGCATGGCAGCATTTCTACAATTGAAGAATATATGGAACTCAAAACAACTCTCAACCAATTTCAAGGTCAGAATCTTTAATACGAAGGTCGAGACAGTCCTATTGTATGGAGCTGAAACGTGGAGAACTACTACGGCCGTCATCAGGAAGGTACAAGTATTTATAAACAGTTGTCTACGCAAAATACTCAACATCCATTGGCCGGATACTATCAACAACAGCGTTTTATGGGAGAGGACAAACCAGCTTCCAGCTGAGGAGGAAATTAAGAAAAGGCGTTGGAAGTGGATCGGACATACATTAAGAAAATCATCAATGTGCATTACAAGGCAAGCCCTAACTTGGAATCCGGAAGGGAAGCGGAAAAGAGGGAGGCCAAAGAACACACTACGCCGAGAAATAGAAGCCGATATGAAAAGGATGAATAACAACTGGAAAGAAGTGGAAAGGATTGTTCAGGACAGAGTTGGATGGAGAATGCTGGTGAGTGGCCTATGCTCCTCCACGAGGGGTAACAGGCGTAAGTAAGTAAGTAAGCCTGTTACTCCTAATAAAGCATAAGCCGCCGACCAACATTCTGCAACCTACACGGTCCTGAGCCTTCCTTTCTAATTTTATCCAACTTTTGTTAATTCTTCTCATGTCTGTCTCTATTTATTAGAATATGGTGATTAGGGATAATCAATGGATAGCCCATCATTCATCAGTAAAGTATATTTACAATTTCAACGAGAGAGCTGATGCTTACCATTAGGTTTGAAATTTTATCATAGGCTGAACAAGTATAACATTGACCACTACTCATTGTAAGAATGTGATTTTGAGATAAGGGATTTGTGAAGATTGTTATAGATCATTGTTAATTTCCATCACAAACTCTTATGAATTATGAAACTATTGTAAACAATTAAGAACTAAACAGGTGTTTATTCCATAGTATCTGGCTTCGTAGGAGTACTCAATGACGGCCTTCAGTTTTGATGACTAGTATAATCCAATAAAATCAATCAATTACCATATACAATCTAAAATTCAATAAAGTTTTGATAGATCAGTACTGTTGATGTTGTCTATTTTATTCCCAATCCGATATAAATCCACCATTTGTATTTCAACGTTACTTAACAACAGGTAAGAAAATAATAGACGTTTCTACAACTGCATAAATGTCATGTTAAAATCATGTGAATCGTTCTGTTGAAGCATCTGATATGAGTGGAACCATTTAATGAGGAAATTTTGGAGATTTTATTAATTTTATAGTGAAATGTATGAGTCAATTGAAGCTAGACGATCATAGAAAACCTGGAAGCACTGGACTGCCATTTCATCTTATTGTAATACTTCTTAATTGATTAATGAATTGAACTATAAAATTGCTAAAATCTCCACAAAATCCCTTCTGATAATCATATACTCACTAGTGACTGGCTTCAAAAGATATTTCCTGGAGTTCTAGTGAGAAGCAGTGACCATTGGAGTTCAACCAGGTCTGTTGTGAGATATTAACTCACTGAAGACAAAGTTGGAAGGTTGTTCAATTTCGTGGATTGATTGAAGTTAGACATTAACACCGTTGGATGCCGGCTTAATGGTCTAGAGATTAAGCGTTCGCTCGCAAGACCGAACTTCCTGGATTCAAGTTGTGGATCGTGGATGAGCACTTCTGAGGAGTCTCAGACTAGGACAAAACGGTCGTCCGGTGCTTCCAGGTTTTCAGTGGTGGTCTACACTAAATCAACTCATGAAGCATTAGGTAAGCAGAGCATTAGTAACATAGCAAATGATCGTTTACTCGTTATCATTAGTTTTATACAACTGTAAATGTTGTATATGCCCATGAGTTACATTTCAAATGGAAGAACTACATAAAATCAAGCTTCTACATTGGATTACCGATTATAACACCTTTATAATAATCGTTTTTTTTTTATGAAATTTGTATTTTTAAATGGGTTAAAAAATAAAACAAAATCACTTGGTATTGTTTGTTTTGAATTTTCCAATTGATCTTTATGTTATGCTTGTGGCCGAATGGATGACTAGTTAATGTGTGACTTTATGAGACCGCCAATCAGGGAGCAGCGAATTATCGATTGGAACAGTGACACGAAACCCGTACGAGCAGACTAGAGTGCTAACCGGTCCTGCGATCTGCTTAGCCCAGCCAGTTAAGTCCAAAACACTAATGACAGCCTCAGTGGTATGAATAATTGTATTTCAAACATACTGGGTTTATATACCGAACAAACAGACTATATCGACCCATAAAATAGGTAATAACATTTGTACAATATTTAGCCGAATGTGGCTGTGAATAGTAATCAATAAACTGATGATATATCAAGGATCGTATAATAATAGTTCAAAGGTCAAAATAAAGTTAGTGATAAGAGGAAACGAATATGATTAGGTTAATTACAATAGGAAATATACATATTATATTGACCAATAAATAGTCCTCAAAAGTTACCATTCGTAATTCTCTTCAGGATACAACAGTTTAGACCTGTAATTTATCAGTCTCTTATTAGCATATATGCAGACTACGCGCATTGCCTAAAGTCACAAGCATTATAAGCAAAGATGGATAGTGGTTAACAGTGGAATCCAAGAAGCACGTTTCATCCTACTTGGAACACGTCAGCTGGATTTAATTTCAGGTGGCTATCAGGACTTAATAAAGAGATGGATAACGAGATGGCGTTTGAAGCGAAAGGTACTGGGTTCGAGTCTCAGAGTGAACATCCACTTTGAGATGCAGGTACACCCAGCTGACAAGTCCCAAATAGGACGAGACGCGCACTCTGGATGAATGTAAGGTTCTCTGTTCAAACTAACAGATATGAATGATTACAGGTTTTAAAACTTTAAAAAGCGGTTATACAATATGTTGAATTAGTTTATATTCATGACTTTTATTTTCCCCTCACTTATTTTTATATATTAGTTATACTACTGAAATATATTGAATAGTTTAGTCAGTCAGCTATAACGTAGGACCAGGCACATATATGCGTCGGTCCAAGTTGTCATACCTCATTAGCACAACAAGATGAACGCCGGATTCATAGAAGTATTAACTTCAATGGTAGTAATATATAAAAGAAAGATTATGTACGAGAATATAATACAAGAAGAAAGAATTAGTTGGTAGAAAGAAAGATATAAAGCAACTTTAATCTCACGGTTTTAAGGAAGACAAAGAGTATACGCCGACGTTAATGTGATCGATTCTGAGATATGTCACAAGGTGTATCCAATCATTGCTTACGATAGTCACGCAGACCCGAACCAAGTAGTCTGTATTTACCAACATAGCTCAGACTAGAAGTTAGTAACTTCAAGTGCTTATGCCAAGTTTTAGTTTTGCCGCCCCTAACTTTCTTCCAGCCGTCTCCAATACTAGTCAGCATTGTGCGTCGTGGTAATCGTTGTTCAAGCATACGTAACACGTGGCCCAACCATCTTAAAACAATTAGTCCCTTTGATAAATTTCGATAATGCAATGAGAAGACGAAGTTTATCAGAATTATGTGATATATTAGCGCAATACATTTCGAACAATCTGATCACACATATACTTGTTAAGACATTTTTTATATGAAAATTAAAAAGTCAACTAGACAGGTTAAGGTAATAAAATAAATAAAGTACACAAAAACAATGTGATGACCACTCTGGATAATAAATCAGCATTACCAGGGTAGGTTAAGGGTAAGAACAAATTGTTTTTGAACACATAAAGGGGGTTTCAATTTCCGTATAGCCAAGGCTTCAATAAACCTTAGTATACGTCCTTGAAAACTTTTGTACAACACTACAAATGCTGATTTGATGTCAACCTTATGACCAGTTTCCACTAAATGTTTCGCAATAGAGGAAGATGTTTGTCTATCCTGTGATCTTATTTGACTATTCGAATTCATTTGGTTCTGTAGCCATTTGGGTATGTGTTCCACCACCCTTATTTGCAAATCACGATTGCTCCTCCCTATGTACATGTTTCCGCACATACATGTAAATTGGTATACACAACCATCTTAGTCAATGAAGACTTCCAACCTCATCAACTGATCTACCACCATTCCCTAATACCTGGCATCTAACTTAATTTTTCCTTACCTGGTGATTCCAGTAGATGTGAGAACTATTTCTAAGACATCTGTGATCTACACTTAAAGGCCACGTTTCGCCGCCATAAAGTAGAACAGAGCGAACTGCTGTACAGTAAACTCGTCCCTTGAATTGTTCAATTCATTACTGACTGTTTTATTTGAACAGTGCATCATGCATTCTCGTTGTAGTATTCTTGAATATTTCCATAAGATTTTTTCTACTGTAGATAGAATTGATATATACTTTCAACAGTACTTCGCATTTTCAGATATTCACTGAAGTTTTGCTTAATTGTAATGATTTCTATTTTTCGCCTTCGTAAACCCTATTTTATTTGGTGACGGGCATATGCTTTTATATAGTAATCAGCAGTTGTTTAAAGCATCCTATGTTTTTTTTATTATGAGAAGGGGTTTTGTGGAGATTTAGTATTTTCATAATTGAAAGCGTGAGTCAATTGAAGCTAGACCACCATAAAAAACCTGAAAGCACTGGACGGTCAACTCGTCCTATTGTGGGATTCCTCAGCAGTGCGCATCCACGATCTCGCCTCGCGAGATCCAAACCCAGAACCTACTAGTCTCGCGTGCGAGCACTTAACCAATAGATCCGATGATGTCTAACTCCAATCAATCCACGAAGTTGAGCAACCATTCACCAATTGTCTTCAGTGAGTTGATATCTCACAACAGATGTGGTTTGAACTCCATCCTATGTTTGTAACCAATCCTTACACTACTGTTCCAGGAAGTACTCCTTTTCCGGTTTTATATTTAGATGCGCATAACCCTATAAAAACCTCGAGAATCGGTGTTTATTAGTTTTTGCAATTATAATGCATATCTCCAGACAATTCATTCGTTTTTATTTGGATTTAGTAATTCTCCAAGTCGTTCAGAATAACGATGAAAGCTCCAAGACCAAACCATCCAGCCCAGCGAACGAAACTTCATCAAAATCATCCACTTGAGCTACAAATCTTCTTCACCACCCCCTAAGCCATTAGGCTAGGGGTTTCAACACAATTAATGCGAATCTCAACAAGATAAGCCCTCGAATGGTAACTGTCGAACTTCATTTAGTCGGATAATCATCCAGCCAAAGTTAATTAGAGAGAGTCATTCAACCGTTACATATGTATTTAGTAAATTATTGATTTATTTGATCTCTTCTCATAATTTGCTTTTATTTTTCAGCCTCCTTTTAGATTATCAAATGAAGCCAGTTTTGCATTAATGCTACGTTATTCAGTGAATTATCTAGCTGATAGCCTGAAAGATGTAAGTTTTATGGAACGAAAATCAAAGTAGCCACTATTCAGAATTTGTAGTCATCTTATTCTGAAAGGCTCTGTTTGTATATATTAATTATCTACTTACTTACGCCTGTTACTCTCAGTGGAGCATAGACTGCAGACCAGTATTCTCCAATCCACTCTGTCTTGCGAATTCGTTTCTAGTTCTATCCAGTTGTTGTTCATTCTTCTCATATTTGTTTCCATTTCTCAGAGTAATGTGTTATTTGGTCTTCCTCTTCTCATCTGGCTTTCCGGATTCCATGTGGGGGCTTGTCTTGTGACACAGTTAGGTGATTTCCTGAATGTGTGTTCTATCCACTTTCATCGCTTCTTCCTGATTTCTTCCTCCTCCGGAATCTCGTTTGTTGTCTCCCACAGTAGAATGTTGCTCATACTGTCTGACCAACGGATCCGAAGTATTTTGCATAGACAACTGTTAATAAACACTGGTTTCTTCCTGATGATGGTTTTCGTAGTTCTCCACGTCTCCGCTTCATACAGTAGAACTGTCTTGACATTTGTATTGAAAATTCTAACCTTGGTGTTGGTTGACAATTGTTTTGAGCTCCAGATGTTCTTCAGTTTTAAATATGGTCAATCAAAAAATTGATAAATGTCAATAAAACTGTGTAATGAGTTTTAACATTTCAGTGTAAACTATCGTCCATGAGATGTAGATCTATTTAAAGAGAAAGTATGTATTTTTAGAATCTTAGCGAATCAATATGAAGTAAATCCAACGTTTCATCTGGCAATATGGTTCAAGCATATTCAAGGAAATAAAATCAAACATCAAAACTCCAGTTCACTGTATATTGAGTAGATCATCCGATCAAATTCATTTGCTAAGATTTTACAAATGTATTATTTTTTATATATAGTTGAAAGCATGAGCCAATTGAAGCTAGACCACCATTGAAAACATGGAAGCACTGGACGGCCATTTCGTCCTATTGTGTGACTTCTCATCAGTGCGTATCCACGACCTCGTCTCACGAGATTCGAACCCAGGACTTACCAGACTCACGCTTTCAACTATGAAAATACTAAATCTACACAAAGACCACCCTTCTGATAATCAATTGATTATTGATTAACTCTGATTTTTCATTTGTTTTATCAGATAAACAAAGATCTTGGAAAAAAATTGAATTTAATGAATATGAATAAAGCTTATCAATTCTCTTCATTATTAAATAGTAAATTAGATAATAAACAACAGAAAACATTAAAAATGGAATTACAAGATATACTGGATAGTATACTAATTGAGCTAACTGAAAAATTGGTAATTACTTTTGTAATTCTTATTTCATATAGATGAATATATAAGTATAATGATAACTTTTCATAGTTGAAAGCATGAGTTAATTGAAGCTAGACTTGCTGAGAAAATCTGGAATCACTGAACGGGCATTTCGTCTTATTGTGGGACTTCTGGAGTTCTAGTGAGAAGCAATGACCAGTGGAGTACAAACCATGTCTGTTTTGAGATAGGAACTTACTGAAGACAATTGGTGAATGGTTGCTCAACTTCGTGGATTGGTTGGAGTTAGACATAAACACCATCAGATGCCGGCTTAGTGGTCTATTGATTAGGTGCTCTGGCGCGAGACTAGTAGATCCTGGGTTCGAATCTCTCGGGGAGAGATCATGGAATCCCACAATAGGATGAGTTGGCCTTCCAGTGCTTCCAGGTTTTTCCTGGTTGTCTAACTTCAATTGAATCACGCTTCCAATTATATAAATATTAAATCTTCACAAAACCCTTTATGATAATTATAATTATAATTGTTAAATAATAGATTTTACCATTTGATGCCCCCAAATGGTCTGGTGTGACTGATGCTGGAGAGAGTCCTCTCTCCCTCTCAAAATGCTCTCACATGGTCAAGAGTAAACAACCACCGAAAGAGAAGTTCTACTCCCTGTTCTCTTGCAGACGGGGTGTTGTTTACAAAATCGAGAAGACGAAAAGCTTATGTACGGCGCTTTAAACGGGTTGATGAACATGGAGGATCGACGTATGAGAGTTGGAAAAACCAGAATCCAAACCGATGGTGCACATAGCCTCCAGGATCCTGATGGAACATATGGTGTATGAACCAATAATTGGTCAGCGGCTACCATGAGACTGCATCTCCTTACGATGCTCCACTGCCGTGTGGACCAGATCTTTAGGTAGATTTTATCTCTGTAGCTTGATGACATTCCGTCGACTACGAAACTTGATAATTTTAGATCTTCATACTATTAATGATTCATATTAGGAAAGTCATAAAACCTTTATATGAAATATAAGTGATATCTATACATATATGCATGGTTTTGTAGAAGTAAAATTGTTACCTGATATCGTACTTAGAACCACACAATTGAAAATTTTCACTGGTCATTAGGTGTTATATTTTGAACTAGGCAGTATGTTGTGTTGAATGTACTGGATTCCCTCTGAGAGGGAGAGAGAGTTCATGAAAGTTTACACAATAACTGAAAGCTACTCAGATGTAATATATGAAGGATGTCAAATATATATATATATATTCCAGCTTCTTTCTGAACTATTCACTGATTATCTTGCTTAGAAAAACAGAGAAAATGACGTGCTTTAACAGTTTAAGTAAATACTGTGCTTCGAAAATTGTGTAACGAAGGAATGGAAACCAGTTCATATCCAGTTTCATAACATCAAGCTACATGAACATTCTGCCCGGAGACCTACTGTAGTTATGATCGGTTTCAAGACCGAATAAAAGGAGAAGATTTGGTTAATAGGTTAACAATCCCAATCGCGTAAAAAGTAGCCTTGATATAAAGGGCTTCCTGGGGAATACAACTCGAGTAAATCTAATGCCAATTTTAAAAAAAATCTCTCAATGATTATTTACTAAAGTCGTAATAAAAGAATTTTATGGTCAAGTTGAGGTTATAGTGGCTTAGCTTCGCTAATCAAACACATCGTTAACCGATAATATATAAATCTCAACGGTGTTTGAATTTGGAAGACAATAAGAAGCAGCAACTCTACAGTTTATCAGCTGATAGCACTGATAATAAAGCCACAAGCACATCGAGTGGATTCGGAACAGGGAGGCGAATTATGTGTGTACTAACGAATACAGAAGAAAATTTATAATCAAATCGAATCAACGTGCAGTTAGGCAAATCAAAGGTTAATAATAAGATTCGAATACATATGTGCATGGAGAAGAGAAAGAACCCTCGGGTGATCTTTAAGCTATCAACATTTAAGCTAGAGTGAGATATGTGTATAGGCTGTCATCAGATCAAGAGTACACGTTTATACAGATATGATAGTGATTATAATAGCCCATAGCAATCAACGAATTGTTACTGTTCGAATTGCACTATCTGTTAAGTAAATGAATGAAAGGGTATAATCGAAATTGATTATAAAACAGTTGCTATGAGGTGAATGTTAATTCTGAAATACCTTCAAATTTATTTTTTCTATCATCATCAATCAATAAAATATGGATTTTTATAATTTTTAGTCTGAAAAACCATTATTTGCAATCAATAAGAAGTCAACTATTTATTCTATGTTGAAAAAGGATCAAATTTATCCGAAAAACTATTTTATTACATTAGAAAAGGTACGTTCATGACAAGTTTACTTAATTACTTACTTACGCCTATTATCCATCGTGAAGGAGTGTAGGCGGCTGACCAGCATTCTACATCCAACTCTGTCCTGGACAATCCTTTCCAGTTTTTATTCATTTTTTTCATATCTGCTTCTATTTTCTGGCGTAATGTGTTATTTGGCCTTCTTCTTTTCCGCTTCCCCTTCCGGATTACAAGTTAGGGAAAGTTATCTAACTAAAAAGATTTTAAAGTTAAGATCATGAGTCAATTGAAGCTGGACCACCGTGAAAAACCTGAAAGCACTGGACGGCCGTTTCGTCCTCATAATCTCATGATCATAACTATAAAATTACTAAATCTCCACAAAAACACAAAACTCCCTGGTTTCATTAATTCTGTTCCTAGATTCAGTTATTTTTGGACTCATCCTTAAAAAATCATCTTAGAAGGACGAGGACTAATTCTGAGATGACTATTTGTACAAAAAGTTAAAAATCTATAATCTTTTCAGTTTCTTGTCACATATCTAATATGTAACTAGTTACCTAAGTTGACTAAAACTATGCATGAAAGCTAATTGCTAACAGCTAAACAATGTGTATGCCTTAATTGTATTTCTAAACTGATAAAGTGTGGTGAGCATTTAGTGGGTGAGAGCAATTAAATAGTTCATTTACTCTACGATCGTACTTGCTATTTGAATTATGAAACAGAAAATGACCTTGTAATTAGTCATAGTAACCAGAGAATAATCAAAAAACTTAGATGAAAATTGTAAGTATAGATGAATAGTGACTAGCAGTGGAAACCAGGACGCGAGTTTTGTCCTATTTGAGACACGTCAGCTGAAGGTATCTGGGTTTGAGTCCCGTAGTGAACATCAAATCTGAGATGCAGGTACATTCAGCTGATGAGTCCCAAATAGGACGAAACCCGTGTCCTGGATTCCACTGCCAGCCACAATCCATCTTTGCTTACCATGCTTGTGAATTTAGGCTATATCGAGGCAATACGCACAGTTTGCACATATACCAAATAGAGACTGACCAGTTGCAGTCCTAACAAATCGATGGGAAGATTCAAACAAACAATATTAAATGAATTTAGATGAAAAATAATCTTCAGAAAGGGTTTTGTGGAGATTTTAATAATCGTAAAGTTGAATTCATGAGTCAATTGAAGCTAGACCACTATGGAAAACCTGAAAGCACTGGGCGGACGTTTCGTCTTATTGTGGGACTTCTCAGTGGCAATGAGCATCCACGATCTTGACTCACAATATTCGAGCCCAGGACCTAACAATCTTCAAAATGTATTCATAAATTCTCTTTGATAATACTAAAAAATTACTTTATATACTTTATATATCTCATTTTGTAATAGACTCAAATTAATTTAACTGAAACAAGGATGCTATCTACTGTTACTTTATATGAAACGAAACTACTTATATTTGGTTTAGTTTTTCTTCGAATTGTAATTATAAAAGTAAGTTTAAATATTATGATTATAGAATTGAGTTGTTCTTGTTTTTCTTCTCCGTTAAGAAGTAGAATATATACTCCCTCGTGGAGGAGCATGGGCCGCGCACCAGTTCTGGTTAGTTTGTTTTAGCGAGTTAGTTTTCTATGGGATAGGGTCGCTAACCCCACGACTAACCCTCATCCTTTACCTGGGCATCGGACCGGCAGTAACTCCAGAGGAGCTACGGGAGGAGTTATTTTTTTTAGAAATTTAGTATGAGACAGAGAAAAGTATATAAATACAATAGTATCCTAAAATGTATGTTAACTTTAATAAGCTCATACTGTTCATTAGTAGTGTTTTCTAGCATCATAATAATATTTCCATCTCTTAGTAGTATACCCCCCCAAAAGAGTATAACTGTTAAATTTGTTTAATGTAACCAAGAATTCAGGATTGAACGGATGAAAACCTCAAAAAGGAACATGAGAGAGATTGACGTTTATCCCAATTAAGTACAAAAAATACGATGTAGTACTGCAAAGATAAATGAAATTAAAAAATAGTAAATACAAAGTTCACTAAATACGGAGGTTCCAGTTAGATTATCAGTTAAATATTGTGAATTTGGTGAGACCATATTTTATGGACGACCTTTGAACCAATCTTAATTGACCTTGAGAAATATTAGCCAATCAGTAAACAGTCAGTGTAGAGTAAAAATATATTATACGAAACCAAATAATTATAGTGAATACACTTCTTTCATATGGTCCAAGGTTAAAAAGAGATTCAAAGGTTCCAAAATCGTAATGCATACTGTAGAGGAACTCATCCATATGGCTCCATAATAGTTGGTCTCTGGAACCATGATAAGGTCACGAAATCTCTCTCAGCCTCGACCACATAGCTTCATTATTGTTTGTGTGTACTCTAATTGTGTAAGTTTGGGATTTTTATCATGGATATATCCCTACAATACTCATACCACTGAACAGACGAAGCTTTATTAACATCTACGATTATTACAGCCAATGTTACTGATACTTTTATAATATATTTTGCGGTAATTATTATAATATGCCTTAGTCTCAATCTAGATCGAGCAATAAAAGCTCCTATTCTAGCAAACGTCTTCCTTCAACATATATTACATCGAAGGAAAACATCACAGTAGGCTGAACAATGTCTACAAGTCATTAAATATCCGCAATTAAAAATACAGGAACTTCTTATTCATTTATTGTAGCCGCTTAATTGTCAAGTTTTCTCTAAAATTCTCTGTGAACCGATCGTACATGAGCATCAGATACTGAAATCGGAGCCATGACCTTGAAATCCCTCCAACGCTTCTGATTGGTTCATCCATAAATTATAATCTCGCCGTGAATTCAAGAAAATTCAAATGAAATGACAATTGTTATCAATAGACAAAAAAACACAACATAAATCTAGCTTGAGTTTTTCATTGTTAGGATGCAATTGATCAAAGGAATATGTTTAAATCACATCCTACAAGCTTTATAAGTGGTTCTTAAGAAATTAGATGGCTTAATCATAGGAGTAAAATTGAAATAAAACAATTACAAGGCTTGGCGATAGTGTCCATAATACTTCTGTTTAGACGCCCAGATAGTATTACAGCCTAGATATAAATCCAGTGACTTATGTAACGCATATGTATTCGGTACCTCTTTTTACCAATATTTATGTGATGAAAAAAATAAATAAATCATACCACATTGAGATAGAAGGTAGGGTAAACGATAATGATTTATTTGTTTATTTAAACGCATAAATATTGGTACGATGGTGCACCAGATACATATATCCGCCACACAAATTTCATTTGATTTGTGTGAGGGTTGTGATACTGCTCGAATGCCCAAACCGAAGCAGGTGGTTTATGTAGGGGCAACACCCCGAGCCTTTGACCTGAAGATTTGATCCACAAGTTAGTTGAGCATCGTGAGGAGATGCAGTCCCATGGTAGACGGTGATCAACAATCGGTTCATATGCCATTAGTTCCTTCAGGATACTGGAGTCTATGTGCATCATTGGTTTGAAATCGGAGTTTTCCAACTCCCATAGGTGGACTTTTTATGTCCACCAACCTAGTTAAAGCGTCAGACATTCGCTTTACATTCTCTTAATTTCGTAAAGAACACCTTCGTCGTATGAAGGTAGTGAATAGGACTTCCCTGGTAGAAACTGTATATGCGTGATGGTTTGAGAACAATTCGAGAAGGAGAGCGGACTCTCGCCAATCTCGGCCATACCAGGTCATTTGGGAGCACGATAATGAAATAGAAACTAAGTTTATTATCAGTTGGACAGAGTGATTCCAACAACAACAAAAAACGAAACTAATTACTGATTGATTTTACATCAGTTAACACCAAATAAGTTGATTACTAGTCGGTAAAAATTTTAAAAAAAAACAAAGTCTTTTTCATGAATACAATTTATAATTGTACTAGTATATGGTGTGGGTCAGACATAAAATGTATTTTCGCAGAAGACCGATGAGGAAAGAACTGAAATGAAACGCAATCGTTTGGAAAATGCATGAGCAATGGAATAAGAGAAGAAACAGTGAAGATTGAAACAAATTGTTGTTAATTTGAAAATTGATTGTTCATTGTTTGGTAATCAGAATTTACTGAGATAGTCTGTAACTTTTGCTTAAATACATTCGATTGTTCCCAACTAGTGTTTTGTTCACTACATTTGGTGTCGCTGCCAACCAGGAGGAGGAAGGGTGCTGTTCTGCGGACGCCGCTGCGGGTCTGGAGTGGAGGTGCTAGTTGGGGCAGTCTGGTGCGGAGAGGTGGCGTCGAGTGGAGTGTTCTGGCGGGGCGGCGTTGACTGTAGCGGGTGCTGTCGACGGAGAGGAGCAGTGGGACGTGCGGCTGCTGAGCGGACATCGGATGTAGATGGCTCGGCAGGCCGGTGGAGTACGGGTGTTGAACGTCCCAGGTGCCGGGTGGATGCGGATGCTGGTGCCCCGGCAGGTCGACGGAGCTATGGAGGTCAGCGCGCCGCAGACTCGACATTCTGACGGAGAGTTTGGCACAGACTGCAGTGGAAGAAGATAGCGGCGTGGCGAGCAGAACCACCGCATGAACAAATGCTTTAAAGGGGGGACGAGTGTGGTGTTGTCTACTTATATCTATATAAGTAGTATATGGTGTGGGTCAGACATAGAATGTATTTTCGCAGAAGACCGATGAGGAAAGAACTGAAATGAAACGCAATCGTTTGGAAAATGCATGAGCAATGGAATAAGAGAAGAAACAGTGAAGATTGAAACAAATTGTTGTTAATTTGCAAATTGACTGTTCATTGATTGGTAATCAGAATTTACTGAGATAGTCTGTAACTTTTGCTTAAATACATTCGATTGTCCTCAGTCGTGTTCTGTTCATTACAGTATGAGAACTAATATTGAAATTATATTATCAAAGAAAACTAGATTATTAATACATTATGGTACATTAGTTACATTGGGAGTTTAACAACCTAGGACTTAACAAAAAAAGAGAATTAAGCTAATGGTAACATTGATGACAGTAAAGAAAAACTAAACAAACAAAATATATTTGACAAAGATTAATTAAAATGACGACGGATAGGTTCTGGGTTCGAATTTCACGGGGTAGGATCGTGGATGTGCGTTGCTTAGAAGTGAAACACTAGGACGAAACGGCCATCTAGTGCTTCCAGGTTTTCCATGGTGGTCTAGCTTCAATTGACTAATGAACTCAACTATTGAATTAAATTGTATTAAAACTCAACATGTAAAAGAGTATTGATAGTGATCAAAGCTATTAATCGTAGTATATCATTTCTGACAAATGTATGGTTGAAGATGTCCTCAATTAGTTGTTTTGAATCTTATAAAGTTTACTACATAAATGTAAATGTGAGCATATTGGAAACTTATTGTGAATGGTCATCATATAATCTATACAGTTCAAATCATTTTTATACAGCCTCTACCAGGGAAGCCCTAATCACTGTATTCTCGTGGCTGTGATACCGTTTACAAAATTGAGAGAATGAAAAGCGAACGTTCTACGCTTTAACCAGGTTTGTGGACACGGCGAGTTCACCTAGGAGAGTTGGTAAACCGTGATCCCAAACCAATGGTACACATGGGCTTCGGAATCCTTAGGGAACAAATGGAGTATGAACCAATTGTTGGTAACCAGCTACCATGGGACTGCATCTTCTTTAGGACAATGGCTCCAGGTGTGGCCTCCTAAGGAAACCACCTGCTTCAGTTTGGGAACCTGAGCAGTATCACAACCCTCACACAAATCGAATGAGATTTGTGCGGCGCATATGTATCTGGTGCTTCCTTGTACCAATATTTATGTGTTTAAATAAATAAATAATAAACTAACGTTACATGATAGAATGGAAATACGTTCAACTATATATATTCTAGCATTTGAATGATCATATTCTTCTTCTTTTTAGTTATTTCTAGGATTTGAATTAGGCTTATCTAATGCGACAATGACACCGAATAAAATATCAATAAATAATAAATTACTTGGATCAATTTGTACTTTTATTTATCGAAAAGTTATGGCTGATATTATTAGTGAACGGACTCGAACCACAGATTTAGTAAGTCTTTAAGTATTTTCATAGTTGAAATCTAAATATGATTGGAAGGAGTTTGGGTGGATATTATAGTAATTTTCATAGTTAATATCATGAGTCAATTGAAGCTAGACCACCATGGAAAACGCGGAAGCACTGGACAGCCGTTTCATCCTATTGTGGGACTCCTCAGCAGTTTGTATCCACGATCCCGCACTCGCGAGATGCGCACCCAGGACCTATCAGCCTCGCGACAGATCATTTAACCGATAAACCATTGAGCAGGTATCCAACGGTGTTATTGTGTTACTTCAACCAAGTATTTGTTAATTATATTAAAAGATTCAGTAATCCAGCAATTACATTTCTATGCTCTAACAATTTTCTACAATTTATCTCAATATATCTTCTTATATATAGCAGATCATGGATACTGATCTAAGGATAAGTGATTTGAATAGTCAATGGTACAGGTAATCTCCAGTTAACGGACAGTTAGAGTCATAAAGAGTGTCATGGACCTTCAAACTCAAACGACTTGCATAATAATGGTAAAAACATATCAGGGAGTTGAGTTGAAGAAGCCAGATAATAATACCATCTTAATAGGAAGATTTATATATAAATTCACCTGGCATTGTTTGCTTGAATTTTCTCTTTAAAGTTTAGGACTGCAGTTGATCAGTCTCTTATTGGCATATTTACGGACTGCCTCGATATTACTTTAAGTAGCAAGCTTTATAAGCAAAGATGGATGACGGTTAGCAGAGGAATGGAGGACGCACGTTCCTTCTTATTTGTGATTCTAGTATAGAACTCCTCAGCAGTGCACGTACACGATCCTGTACACCGGACTCGAACTCAGGATCCTCGATCTAGCGGGCGGACGCTTAACGTCTAAACCACTTAGCCGATATCGAACGGTGTTAAAATCTAAATTTAACAAATCCACGACATTGTGTGACCGATCTCCACTGTCTTCAGTGGGTATCTGCCTGGACTACCAGACTAATCCATTACAACCTAGTTCAGTCCGTACCTTTACATTACCTATAGATTTTCTAACCTCATTAAGAGTTGGAAAACATGTGTCAACTTACCAATAGGGTTGATTGAAGACAGAATGACTGAAGGGTAGTTGGACGTCAATTGAGCTGTCCTGTAAAGTACTCTGCTCATCAATCAGTTAAAAAGTGGATAACAGACCTATCCTTTTCCGAAATTCACTAAAACATCTCTATTTAATACCAGTCACCGTTTGGTAGTTTACATTCGAGTTGTCGTCATTGTCAGGCACCAACCGGTAACCTATGCACTTCTCTACCTACAAGGCGACTTCTTCAGGTACACTGCCTTAGTGTACCCTCATTCAATAGAGTAGCAAATGAGTTCCTCAAATCACATTGTGCATCTTCATGGCTTTGGTTAGGTGAGAGGGCAGCAATCGGAACCTCGTTTCTATCCGCTTGCTTCACTAAAACAGTTACGTTTTAAAGCATTTTTCTCACTCATCTAAGTGAATAATAAACGTTATTTTGATCAGTTTTTAGTTCTACATTTTAATTGGGAACCTGATCGATACTCAATTCTTGTGTTTCTAGCCAATACCCGGTGAACTACAAAATATTATTTTTAATGATACCGAAATGAAACAAATCTACGGTATGATTGGAAGGAGGTACTTGACAAACTATATTGTAAGTTGAAATTTATGTTCTTTACGGCTGATCAACGTAACAAGATAGTAAAGGTTTTAGAGATCGTTTAATTTTAAGTTAATTTTTGTCAAATGTTGATGAGCTTTGATTGAAATCGTGAATGAATCAATATCAGACCACCATTGATAACCTGGATGGTCGTTTCGTTCTAGTATGGGACTACTCGGCAGTGAGCATTCACGGTCCCGTACGTGGAATTTGAACAAAGGACCCTCAGTCTCATACTTAACCTGTAGAATCACTGAGCTGACACATTCAACAGCGTTAATTTCTAACTTCAACCAGTCAACGATATTGTGTGACCATCCTACATTGCCTTCAGTGAGTAACTGCCTCACACCCCACACGGTTGAATTCCATTGGCTACAGTTTCCCTAAACTGATAAAATGTTGATGAACATCTGATACTCAAGACAGTTTGTAGCACCCAGTTCTATGTAAAGTCCACATGGATTATTCTAGCTTAAGGAAAGACCGATTTACTCATTCTTTTCATGACACATTTTGACTTTGTTGGTTATTTCCTTATTCACTCTGACTTTTTATATGAGCGTATGAGTGTACATTGCATACACTTCTCATCACATCTCTGTAACTTATTATTGTCTGACTATAAATATTTATCAAATCGAGTTGGCTTACTCTCCTTCGCCGCTTGGTTTCGCTTCTTATCCTGAATGTCTGCCTGGATAAACATAAGCTTAAAATAAATTCATCCAAAACAATTCGAATTTCGCTTCTTATTCCCACAGTCACATAAACCGGGTTAACCTAGGTAATGTACGGAGTAAAATGGGAGATTTATGTTTAAAGGATATACATACCATCAAATCGGAGATCACAGCACCACAAAAAATTGACATTGTGATGGGATATTCATTCAATATCACCACTAATAGCTTCCTCGCTTTCAACACAGGTTTCTCAACAGACGGTTAGAAAATCCATCCCAAAGTTGATCATTACTGACGATTAATATGAACGTTAATTTCATCATGAACTGATGTCAACTTGATAAGACCAGCGAATTACATAAAACTATTTAAGAATGTATAGATATGTTGAAGTCGAAAAAGTCAATTCAGGATTAATTTACCAGACATTAATGTAAACCAAAACAAAACTTAACTCAAATGGACTTATATATTTGAACGCATAAATATTGGTACAAAAGACACCAGATATATATGCGGCACACAAAAAAATATTTCATTAAGTTAGGTGAGGGCTATAATACTGCCCGGGTGCCCAGACCGAAGCAGATGGTTTTCTTAGAGGGCCACACCTGAAGCCTTTGACCTAAAAGCCTAATCCACAAGGTAGTGGAGCATAGAAAGGAGATGCCGTCCCATGGTAGTCGGTGATCAACAATTAGTTCGCACGCCATTTGTTCCCTCAGGGTACTGGAGCTCATGTGCACCATTGGTTTAGAATCAGGGTTTCCCAACGCAGTAGACGCCCAACTTCAAGATGAACAGGCTGAATTCCGAAAGGATCAGTCGTTCACAGACCAAATTGCGACACTACCGATCATCGTGGAACAATCAATTGAGTGAAATTTGTCACTGTACATTAACTACATTGACTATGAAAAGGCGTTTGACAACGTGGATCTGAGAAAAATTATGGAAAATTCTGCGACACAATGCAGTGAGTATCTGAGAAAATTATCAACAGAATTCAGAATTCATACGACGTAATACAGTGCAAAGTCGTGCATCTAGGACAGCTCACAGATGCATTTCCAGTATGGATCGAAGTCAGACAAGGCTGTCTAGTCTCTCCCTTCATCTTTCTTCCTCTGATTGACTGGATTATCCACACTTCGACATCTGACAGGAAACACGGAATACAATGGACATCTTAAAACCAATTTGACGATTTGGACTTCACAGATGACCTAGCCCTCCTATCTCATAACCACAAAAAAATACAAACGAAGACAACTAATGTAGTATCAGCATCTGCATCAATAGGCAACAACATACACAAAGGAAAAAGCAAGATTCTCAAATACAACACGGAGAACAAAACCAATCATACTTGATGGCGAATCGCTGGAACAGGTGGAAACATTCAGGTACCTGATCAGCAGCATGATTGATAAACAAGGAGAATCTGATGCGAATATAAAGGTGAGGATTGGCAAAGCAAGGACCACATTTCTACAATTGAAGAACATATGGAACTCAACACAACTCTCTGCAAAATAATATCAATGTCACAATCTTCAAAGTCAACACAGTCAGTTCTATTGTACGCAGCTGAAATGTGGAGAACTACTACATCCATCCAACTATTTATAAACAGTTGTCTATGCAACATTCATTGGCTGGGTACTGTCAGCAACAACTTTCTGTGGGAGAGGACAAACCAGCTTCCAACTAAAGAGGGAAATACAAGTAGATATGAAAAGGATGAATGTTAACTAAAACGAAGTGGAATGAATTGCCCAGGACAGGGTTGAACGGAGAATACTGGTGGGTGGCCTATAGTCCTCAATGAAGGGTAACAGGTGTATGTAAGTAATTCATCTAGGTGGAATTTCTGTGTCCACCAACCTGGTTACAGCATCGGACATTCGCTTTCTATCCCTTCAACTTCCTAAACAATACCCCCAACACGAGAAGATAGTGAATAGTACTTCCCTGGTAGAGGCTGTATACGCGTGAAAGCATTTCGAGAGAGAAGGCGGACCCTTCCCTTTCTCGGCCGTACCAGGGCAGTAGAGTGCACTCAAACGGATAAATGTAATTTGTATAAATTATTCATTCAATAATAAATCTATAGCTTTGCCTTCTACTTCTATCATACTAATGATCTTTTAGATGTTCTTAAATCAATTTACAAATAACCCTTCGTAAAATTAATAATTTCCATTATGAATTTCTCCTGTTTTTTATAATTTAGGACAAATGTAAACGTTGGCTTCAAGATTATGGTAAAGCAATATTAACCTTGTAAATTGTATAACAGCAATAATAATCATACCTTATTATTACGTAATATAAAAAAGAAAGCAAAAAAAATCAAAGTATTTTTAAGAGCTCTAGAACAATGCCTATATAGTTTGACTACTATCTGAAGACGATACTACTGATTGCAGAATCATTTGAGTAGTATAATACAATAAGATTTATAATTTATATACAGTATGAGAATAGTAATAATGTAATATTATTAAGGATTTGTAATAACAATAAATGCACAGAAAACTATATCCCTTTATGTAATATATATATATATATGGAATCACATTACATATACATGTTACTTGCTTACGCCTGTTGCCTCTCGTAGAGGAGCATAGTCCTCACTCCAGTATTTTCCATCCAATCCTGTCCTCAACAATGCTTTCCACTTCTTCTCAGCTGTTATTCATCCTTTTCTTATCTGCTTCTATTTGACGGCGTAATGTGTTCTTACGTCTTCCTCTTTTTCACTTCCAATCTGGACATCAAGTGAGGGCTTGTCTCATGATGCAGTTACGTGATTTCTATTAACTTACAATGTCTTTTACTAATTTCCTCTTCAGATGGAAGCTGGTTTGTTCTCTTCCATAAAACTCTGTTGCTGATAGTATCCGGTCAATGAATGTTGAGTATTTTGCGTTGATAACTGTTTATAAATACTTGTACCTTCTTGACGATGGATGTAGTAGTTCTCCACATTTCAGCTGCGTACAATAGAACTGACTGTGTTGACTTTGAAGATTGTGACATTGATATTATTTTGCAGAGAGTTGTGTTGAGTTCCATATGTTCTTCAATTGTAGAAATGTGGTCCTTGCTTTGCCAATCCTCACCTTTATATTCGCATCAGATTCTCCTTGTTTATCAATCATGCTGCTGATCAGGTACCTGAATGTTTCCACCTGTTCCAGCGATTCGCCATCAAGTATGATTGGTTTTGTTCTCCGTGTTGTATTTGAGAATCTTGCTTTTTCCTTTGTGTATGTTGTTGCCTATTGATGCAGATGCTGATACTACATTAGTTGTCTTCGTTTGTATTTTTTTGTGGTTATGAGATAGGAGGGCTAGGTCATCTGTGAAGTCCAAATCGTCAAATTGGTTTTAAGATGTCCATTGTATTCCGTGTTTCCTGTCAGATGTCGAAGTGTGGATAATCCAGTCAATCAGAGGAAGAAAGACGAAGGGAGAGACTAGACAGCTTTGTCTGACTTCGATCCATACTGGAAATGCATCTGTCAGCTGTATCATATACATGTATTTGGTGCTTTTATTGTTAGTTAGTTAAGTCATGTGTAAAACCAACTTATATTTTAATAAGTTAATGATCAAAAACAGGGATGGAACTGCAAATAAACGAAAGAATTACACTTTACAAAATGTGATCAGGAAATTTTCTTCATTATATATTAAACTGACTTCTCATGTACAGATTACTGTAGTTGAAGTCACACTTTCTATCTGGACTTAGTCCTTGAAGAATGTCAAGTCTAAATCAGCAGGTCGCCAGGTTCAAAGTCTACTCTACTTATTACGGTTTAGGCATCATTGTAGCGATAATATCAATAAATTTTGTGACTGAATAAGTCAGTTAGTCAGAAGCAACACAGAACCAAGTATATACGTATATCAGAAAACCGCCAAAGAATTCCAAGTTCTTGTAATAATAGTGGTGATAGAAAAGATTCCGAACGAAAGAAGAAATAGTAAAATTATTAAAGAAAAAAAAGTTATGAAAAAATTCAAGATTTAAGGTTCACCTCAACAGGTAAAGACTTTATGGACTGTATACTTATTTTGATTTAGGTACTGCCAGCTTTTTTTTTTCTTGAACGTACTCATACAAACTGACTACGAAAAGCATCGACGTAGGCTTTAGCTAAACATACGCAACAAAATATATCCCAACCACCTCAATCGATAAAGACTAACTACTTCATCACATGACTTGTTATCTAATGTGTAAAAACTCAACATCGCTCACCTGATTGTTCTACGATATCTAAACTTTCAGCCTGTCTATGTCTTCTAATGTAGAGGAACATGTTTTCCGATCATAAAGGAGTTAAAAAACGTATATAATCTATGTAAAGATATGTATTTATAGAAGGGATACTGTTCAAGGATAAAATAATGAAAGTTGAAAGCATCAAGAGGCATATATATAATAAGTATGGATACTAATTACAGGATGATAGTTTATCATATATAAAGTAACAGTTGAAGAGCGGAGATAATATGCATTACTCTTCTATGTATATCCCATATAACCATTTGAACTGAAACAGGTTATCATGTCATCATCATTATCTTGCTTCATTCAACATTTCTTTTAATTCAACATATAAACGTTGTAAATGCAAATTGAGTGCAAATAAACTTAATAATTCTTTAGCTAATACAAGTCTTGATATACCCTATAATTAGAAACAAAGGAAGATAAAAGAGATAGAGTGACAAATGACCAAAGAAAACAAATATAGATATATATATCCATCTTTCTTTTCCTGGCGAATCGATCAATGTAAGACGATCATTGAAAATCTGGAAGCAATGAATAGCCGTTTCGTCCTAGTATAGGACTCTTCAGCAGTGCACATCCACAACCACGCACGACGCGCACTGCTGAGAAGTACTATACTAGGACGAAACGACTATTCGATGATTCCAGATTTTCAATGATAGTCTTACATTGATTGATTTGCCATCCGGCGTATTTATTGCTGTCAGTTAAATGCTTTAAAAACATTGAATTGAAGATTCATATATTAATTTTAAGCAAATCACATTACTTGTTATTCTTTATTCTGATGTACAATCCATCACATTTAATTGTTATATCCCGAAGAGATTTATGAATGGTAACTTTTGAGAACTATTTATGGACTAGTATGATGTGTATATTTCTTATTTTATAGTTGTTAAGTAACTCAACTACTCATATTCATGCTCCTTTTATTATGAGCTTTATTTTGACCCATAGACTACTTCTGTACGATTTAACATTACTGGGTTATGCCCAGTCTATTAATTACTGTTTACCACATTCACAGCTACTTCAGGCTGGATCTTGTACAAATGTTATTTTGTCTTTTATGGTACGATGTGGTCTGTTTGATCGGTATAAAAACCCAGTATGTTTGAAAATAATAATTCATATTGCAGAGGCTGTTATTGGTGTTCTGGACTTAACTGATTGGGCTAGGCAGAAAGCAGGACCGGAAAGTGCTCTAGACTGCTAGCACAGGTTTAGTGTATCATTGATCCGATAGATAAATCACTGCTCTCTAATACGAGGCTACACACGATATAACATTAATCTTTACAAATATGTAAGCTATACTGTTATTTTACCGTTTACAAGAGTAATATGATAAACGAACCATTGGCTAGTAGTACATGGATTCGCCATTGAACCATATATTTCTTTAATATGAAAGCTAGTGATGTTGGAACTTGAGTGCTTAAATCAATATAAGTGAAAAAGAGTATGTAAGGGTCATTCAATAGTTGAAAATCAGGTATTTGGATCAACGAACCATTGTTTAATTAATCATTTACATGTACTAGATAAGTTGAGAGATAGTTAGGTTTTACGAGTAATATTGATAAACTGTAGACCTGAAGATGACACGGATAATATCATTTATGTTTATGAGCTCAGCAATACACAAGATGGTAATGCATCCATGTAAACTGTATATTCTTATTGCTAGGATTTGAGAGTTAAGTTTTCCTTCAAGCTAGGATTCACCAGCCGGATTTCTTTATTACGGCTAATCCCTAGTAAGTAGTGAAGTCTACTGACTAAAAGAAATGTAGTAGTTACATAATTTCAAATTTAAGGTTTTATATAACCTGGAAAAAATTATATAATACAGAAATGTGATGTGTCATCAGTTCACTATGGAAACCATCAAGTACATCAAAAAAAATTCAACATCTCGTACAGACTGTCAGTATCAAAAGTAGCCTGAATACTAAATGATACGAGTTCGGATTTTTAGGTAACGACCAGTTCTCCAAAAGAAATATCAACATAATAAGATAAAGACGTCAGACAATCCTACAAGACTTACCTTTACTTCAGATTGACAAGTAGAATGTAATTTGGTAGTTGCCTGTACAGGACCAATGAGATCTTGGATTATTTGACGAACACGTTCTTCTTCATCTAAAATTTACGCGAAAACATTTCACTTTTACATACAATCGAATTGGTTACATTGTTCATAAATATTTTAAAAATATGATACATATTTCAACTCAGATTGGTTTTTCGTCTTCTCAATTCGTAAACAACACCCCCGCCACGAGAAGGAAGTGAGTAGGACTTCCCTGGCAGAGGCTATGTCCGGCGCTTTAATCGGGTTGGTAGACATGGAAAGTCCACCTAGAGGAGTTGGAAAACCTTGATTCAAAACCAATGATGCACATGGGCTGGAGTATCCTGACGGAACAAATGGCGTATTAATTAATCGTTGGTCACCGGCTACCATGGGATTGCATCTCCTCACGATGCTCCACTACCTTGTGAATCAGACCTTTAGGTCAAAGGCTCTGGGTGTGGCCTTCTAAGAAAACCACCTGCTTCAGTTTGGGCACCTGAGCAGTATCACAGCCCTCATAGAAATCAAATGAGATTTGTGTGTCACATATGTATTCGGCGCCCCCTTGTACAAATATTTATGTGTTTAAATAATAATAATGGACTCAGATTAATCATCATCTACAGACAAATTATTCATTTGATCACAAAATTGCTCTAACCATAGTTTCTTTATACTCATGAGATGCATAGGTGACTATCCTACTATATGTTTGTGATAGAATTACCAATCCAATGCAAAATCGATGCCTAGTCGAATCAAAAAGTCTACTTCGAACTTTGAATCTGTTCAATCAGTCAAAAGATTGACAACCTGAATGATCATGACAAACGATAACATCTAAAGATTACTATCTATTAGCGATGATGGTATTGGCTATCAGAACTCCTTAATTGTCGTAAAAAGTGAATGTTCAGTGATCAACAGGAAACTATCGATGTTGTGAATGTTAGTTACAATTATCGCTTCAGTAGACCAGAATCGCTCTACTATTATTACAATGGTCTAATATTGAGATCAATGACGAAGTATGTTGATATGCTTAAGTTTAAAAATATGACTTGTTCTGAAAGAGGTATAAATAAGAAGGCGATTATAGTCAGATACACAAGGATTGACTGAGAGTCGTTATGAGATCAAGAAATGTACTGTTCTTTATCACAATAATTGATTCTGGAAACTACTAATCAGTCACCTAACGAAAAGAATAGTGGGAATGGTTGAGGTCAAACCAATAGACGTACTAATTTACTGTGTCTGAAGCGTGAAACAAGTCTAGTGTTCAAGATGCTGACTTGAGGTAGTAAAGTATTGTGACCAACTTGATAAAATGTTAATAATTTGGCTTCAAAGAGGCAAGGTATAGCATTCTATAGACTGGAATTTTCAATCTCAAAAAAGTAACCAGAAGATACCACGTTTATAGAACAAAATGATGAGATATATGTGCAAAACAGTTGATTATCTATGAGTATTATAAGCATCTAAACAACAAGTAATCACTCACTATCTTCAATAAGTTGACGGAACCAACGAGTTAGCCAATAGCGATATTCATTGGAAGATCCAAATGATAGAGCTAATTGAGTCTGAGATTCAAGGAAATTTTGATTTGAAACTTTTCGACAAGATGCCGAACTAAATAAAAATGTTAACACATAGAATGAAAACAAGAAAGAAACATCATTAGTTGCTTAAAGTAATGAATTGTTAAATCGGAGAGAGTTGTCATAACTAATACTATTAGTCTAGTGAGCGGAACACGACTGGGGAAAATCGAATGTATTTGACACGAAAATTACAGACTATCTGAACAAAATCGGACGACCGTACAGTAGACAGTTGATTTGCAAACTATCAATCAATTGTCTCAATCTTGACTGTTCCTTCTGTAAATATCAATCCATCTTCTCTGATTTCATTGTTCATGCATTTTCATACCAACTGCGTTCCGTTTTGGTTCTTTCCTTATCAATCTTCTAGTGAAATACATTCTATGCCTGACCATCGACATATACTACTTATATGGATATAAGTAACACACACCACAGTAGTTCATCTGTGATGTGAATTAAAATCTGTCAGTCATAAGCAACATATAAACTCTGACATATGTATATTGGTCCTATTTACTATACTCTACCAGCAAACCAACACAAAATCAACAAGATGCATAGCAAGGGAATCAAATTGATGATGTAAATAGTTGTGAAAAGGAATGAACATAAAAAGTACGTCATTCATAAATAAGGGGCAAAAGGTATAGTGTATAGTTGAGACTCAATGACAGCAGGTCTCTTTAAACTAACTATGAAAACTATAAGCAGGTTTCCTAACCTTCCTAATCTTTCACATTACTGCTTCAAATCTTATTACTTCTACCACTATGGGATTTGAATGGACAACTGCATCTCTGTGCTGATGTGGTATGGCAACTCGATATGATGTACGTATGTACGAAGTTCTACGTTGTGACTGACTGAAAATACGTACATCACAATTAACCAAGATGATAAAGCTTAAATGAAATGATTCGAACAATACTAAAAATAAACTGCGATACCATTAAAGAGTCAACATAAACTGATGAACATGACATACATGACATTTGAATTCGAACTAGTGAAATGATTTGATCTTTGTACATTAGTAGTCATTTTATTAAGTTGTTGACATGCAGATAATGGACCAGGAGGACAACCACGAGAAGAATTCATAGCGAATTGACAACGTACAATATCAGATGCATCAAATAATTCAATCCTACAAGTTGATTCGAAAAAAGAAAACTTATTATACCCGAAAATAGTAATAATAAATTATCATTTCAACCACTAGATCTAGGATTTAAACCATCATTGGGTAATCATCCAGTAGAATTATTGGCCATCATGAAAACACTGTGGCTTAGATATGAGTAAATAAACTGGTATATGACAAATGAGGTATATATACGAGCCGACAGTATCCAGATTAATGATAGGATGTCTTTACAAATTGATTCATGAAGATCTACAAATGATGGTATTTTAGATTTTCAAATCATTCTATTGATGGAAAGTCATTATTAGAAACACCTCAATACTACAGGAAGTCAATCGTAGCCCAAATAGCTCAGCGTTAATATCTCAGCATCATAATGAAATGATAGAGCCTATGAAAACTAACAGCCGAGGAAGCTAAATTATAAATGATAACTCATATTAATTACTGATACACAACAAGGAATCAGATATGACGGCAGACTGATGACAGCATTCTATAAGTATAATGCATACGGCATTTTCGGCCAATTTTCTGTTGATTTAGTGGGTGAGTGTAGCTTAATACAGTGAAGTTTTCACTAAAAATTTCATTTCAAGACATGAATTGTACTATATTTGTTTCTCGCCCGGTACATTAGTCTTTGCAGCAATAGCATGATGATCATTGCAGATAGTTGCGGATAACTCTAGTAAAACGTACACTCCATTAAACAGGACTCACCAATTAAATGATCTGAAAAAAATGAATGAAAGTGTTGAATACAACACAATTATTAGACTATAAAAACATTGTCGATAACCTCAAGCATTTTCTAGACATGGCTTTTTTTAATACTAAAAACACGTGGGAATCAAAACCGACTACTAACTATATTTGAGATCATGAGTCAATTGAAGCTAGACCAACAATGGAAACCTGGAAGCAATGGAGAAGCAGTGACCAGTATAGTTCAACCAGGTCTGTTGTGAGATAGTAACTCACTGAAGACAATGGTGGATGCGTCGTTCAATTTCATGGATTAGTTGAAGTTAAACATTAACATCGTTGGCTGCCGGCCGGCTTAATGGTCTAGAGGTTAAGCGCTCGCGCGCGAGATCAAAATGTCCTGAATTCGAATCTCGCGAGGCGGAATCGTGTATGTGCACTGCTGAGGAGTCCCACAATAAGACGAAACGTCCATCCAGTGTTTCCAGGTTTTCCATGGTGGTTTAGCTTTGACTAACTCATGACATCGACTATATGACGAAAAACTATATTTCGATTAAAAGTTTTAAACTAACTCTTTTTTTTAATGTACACTAATATCGCTAGGAAATTACTTACCAAATACGACTTTCTATATGAAATAAATAAGATGAATTATCTTGTAAATATACGACAGGAAATCCATTTGGACCGAATGTAAGAGAACTAAATCGAGAATTATGACCACCTATATGAGTAAAAAGGGAACAAACAACAAAATAAATGAAAACAATTCAATATTTACTTACAAGGTAATCAAAGAAAAACATTTGAATAGTTTGTAAGCAAAGATGTGTATTGGCTAGTAGTGGAATGCAGGACACGTGTTTCGACGTATTTGGGACTGGTCAGTTGGATGTAGCTGCATCTCGGAATTGATGTTCACTGTGGGACTGCAACCCAGTACCGTTCGCTTCAAACGCCATCACGTTATCCACTCGACCAATGAGTCCTCATAGTCACTTGCTTGTGCAATCACTAGTTGCGGTCCTAAACATCAATGGGAAGATTCAAACAAGTAATACTAAGTGAATTTAAACTTAACCCCATTGCACGAGCAAGTGACTATCAGTCAACGGTGATATTAAACATTACATTGACTAGTTATTGAGTAATACCCAAAATTGGTAATCGAACACTAATGAACATACTGATCATTCTAAGTAAATTGAAATCACGTCTATTATGTTAGGGTGTTAGGTAGTAGAAGTTAATTACTAGAATGCTCTGGATGTAGATTTGGTGTTGAATTGCTCGTTAACAAAATGTATTTGTGGGTTCAAGTAAAACCAAAGACATTAATTATATTAAGATCAGGTATAAATCTTGAGGACAAAAGCCAACTAGTACGAAACTAAGGTTCAGGAATTCTCACTAATTAATTCTAATTACAAATTTTAGATATCAGTCCTATTGGCATTCTAGATAGTGTTCTTATAATCATTGTGACTAATAGATAAAGAACTATGATAACGGTTAGTTATTAGTCGCCGTGACACTGATACATCTATTAACGTATTTTAATGCTATTTCCTACTTTCTATTTCTCGATTTCATTTGTTCACTGTCCATGTTTAAATATTTTTGAATTACATTGACATTACTACTATGTAACCTAATTAATCTTGTTAACTACCAGATATTTAGTGCGAAAGATGACAATATGGGGCAAGGAACATTTGTACAAGATTGTTTGATCGATTATATTCAATGTTTGATTTATAAAAAATGAATAGAATATTCATATTTTTATTTATTTATTTATTTAAACACATAAATATTGGTACAAAGGGGCACCAGATATATATGCGCCACACAAACCTCATTTGATTTGTGTCAGAGCTGTGATACTGCTCAGGTGCCTTTGACCTAAAGGTCTGATCCACAAGATAGTAGAGCATCGTGAGGAGATGCAGTCCAATGGAAGCCGGTGAGCAAAGATTGATTCATACGCCATTTGTTCCTTCAGGATACTGGATCCATGTGCGCCATTAGTTTGGAATCAGGGTTTTCCAACTCCCCTAGGTGAAATTTCCATGTCTACCAACCCGGTTAAAGGGTCGGATATTCGCTCTTCATCCACTCGATTTCGCAAATAACACCCCCACCACGAGAAGGTAGTGAGTAAGACTTCCCTGGTAGAGGCTATATACGCGTGGTCGTGTGAGAGCATTTGAAGAGGGAGAGCAGACCCTCCCCACTCTCGAACGTACCAGGGCATTCTAGCTAAACGTATAGCATGAGATAGTATTAATCCGAAAGAAATAATAATCCAAGGACTTAGAGATCTCATAACAGTAATAATAGTAACAAAACTGTTGGAATTCTTACCATTTAATACATCTTTAATATTAGTTTCAATTAATACTTGAGGAAATATACATTTATTGAATACAGTAGATACTGAACCGAAACCAGCCTTAGAGATCTCATAACAGTAATAATAGTAACAAAACTGTTGGAATTCTTACCATTTAATACATCTTTAATATTAGTTTCAATTAATACTTGAGGAAATATACATTTATTGAATACAGTAGATACTGAACCGAAACCACAATTATTTAAACAAAAATTCCATATGATCAATCTTCCAGATCGACATAAAGCAGCTAAACGATATTTACGATTAACATTGAATTTATTCATTATACTATTGTTAGGTAATGTAGAATGATTATTATTCCCATTCTGAAGTGTTGTTTGTTGTTGTTGTTGTTCATTTCCACTGACAACTGCATGTAATCGGCTAAGGTTATTATTATTAGGTGTAGATTCTGGGCATGTTATGAAAACATGATTAGAAGTCGTTAAAGATGATTCAGTAGTTTCAGTAGTCAATGCCAATGTATGCACACAGTCTAATAAGAGATTAGGACATATATGACCACCAGTACTGTAGATTAATTGAATACGACCTTTGTTATCACCAACAGCAATAACTTCACTGAAATAATAAAAAAAAGGTTGGAACAGGTTGGAACAAAATGAGACTCTTCAGTAATATGGATACAAGACTTCACAGGGGATGAGGGTCAGGATTCTCGGTCGAGCGCCTAACCTTTAGGTCAGTGAGTTGGAATCCATTGGTTTCAATCAATTCGCGAAATTGTATTCTTTATTGTCACTGGTTGGTAGCTAATTCACATTAAATAGGGTTCAATTTCACTGGTTACAGGTCATCACCAGAACTTCTATCGTCTAAGATTAGTTTGTGATGCAAACAATAAAAATTGACAATCTCTATAAAACCATCATGCTAGTAAAACACATTTCGTTAATAAAATAATTTTATTAACAAGGCTTTACAGAGTGTATCAGACAAGATTATAAATAACTGGATATCAGTTTCTCCAGTACTAATGAGTCTCATCAGCCTTTGTGGTCTAGTGTGTAACGAAATGTCAGCACGAATACAGAAGGCTCGACTAGCATTCGTCAACTTGCGTCAATTATGGCGTAGGATTTACTGTGCAGCAGTTCGTCCCGTTTTACTTTATAGCAGTGAAACATGGCCGACAAGAGTAGAGGATATTCGTAGGCTACTAGTATTAGATCATAGGTGTCTTCAAAGCATTGCTCGTATATCCTGGGACCACCAGGTAAGTATTGCAGATGTTAGAAAACGGGCACTAGGTAATGATAGCATATCGATTAATCAAGTAGTGAGATGGCTGGGACATGTGTTACGTATGCCCAACCACCGACTGCCTCGACGTGCAATGTTTTATGGTGTAGGAGTAGGTTGGAAGAAAGCTAGCGGCCGCCAAAACAAAACGTGACACAAATCCATGAAGTCACGGACAATTGGACTGAGCCATGTTGGTAGGTGTAGACTACCTGGTTGGGATTCGCGAGCTGATAACAATCAATGGTTAAAGACCTTGAATGACGTGGCTCGAAATCGTTTGCAATGTCCAAGGTGCATCCACTCTTTGTAACCTGCCAAATTCTAATCTTCTGAATTCTTCATATCTCTATCCTTTTTCTCTTTCCAAATTTATTTCACTGGATTATACTCCTTCAATAACATCTTCTAACCCTAATCTTTCACATAATGCTTATGCTCTTACTACTTATACCAATATGCGATTGGAATTGACAACTGGATCTTTGTGCTAATGTGGTATGGCAACTCGAACTGATGTACATATGTACAAAGTTCTACGTCGTGACTGACTGACTGACTGATTGAGTACAAATGAATTATACATCCAGCATTAATCACTTATTTACAATGGATATCTATATTGGTAGTATTCTGGTAAAAGTAATTAGGCTTAGATAATCTCAAACGGTAAAATTGACAGCTATAAAAATAAAAAAACTACAGTTCTAACTTGATAAAAAACATGTTTAGACATGAGAGATATCAAGTTTAATATGTACAAATTGAACTTAACTATGAGATAGATTGCCACGAATAATGTATATTAGTTGGAGAGGATACTGATTTAAATGAGTTTCACTCTACCATAAAGGTTAATTATCATTTCATTTTATTTTAACACATAAATATTGGTACAAAGAGTCACCAGATATATATGCGCCACACAAATCTTATTTGATTTGTGTGAGGGTTGTGATACTGCTCAGGTGCCCAAACCGAAGCAGGTTTCAAAGCCGGCGACACCTGGTATTCCCAGCTGGTCACCTATGCAAGTACTGACCGGGTCCAACGTTACTTAACTGCGGTGATCGGACGAGAACCGATGCTTTCGATGTGGTATGGTCGCCATTACTCAACATCGAATGATAAAATATAATGTTCATATAACTTACTCTGAATATGCATATGAAGTTAAACGATCTGAACATATTAATTCCCATAAACGACGATCACTACGACTGGCAATTATACGAGAGACTGAATTCGATAATTTTGGAATTTCTTCACTACGTGTAGATGAATTCGATGAGTTGATTAATTGTACAATAATTGGACCGTCTATTAGATTAGAACATACAAATTGAACTTTTGATGCATTTCCTAACTGATCAGAGGTAGTGATTAGAAATGGTGCAAAACTTGTTGCTCCTGAAGGTGGATTTTGTACAGATGATGATGTATTATCAGCTGAAAAAAACGCACAATTTACTTGGTTATTTGTGAACTACTTAAAATACAAAAAAATAAGTACTTTAATAGCATAGTGTTGAGTTATTTATTTATTTAAACACATAAATATTGGTACAATGAAGCACCAGATAAATATGCGCCTCACAAATCTCATTCGATTTGTGTGAGGGCTGTGATACTGCTCAGGTGCCCAGACTGAAACAGGTGGTTTTCTTAGGGGGCCACACCCGGAGCCTTTGACCTGAATGTATGATCCACAAGGCAGTGGAGCATCGTGAGGAGATGAAGTCCCATGGTAGCCGGTGACCAACAATTAATTCATACGCCATTTGTTCCCTCAGGATACTGGAGACCATGTGCACCATTGGTTCGGAATCAGGGTTTTCCAACTCCCCTAGGTGGATCCTCCACATCCACCAACCCGGTTAAAGCGCCGGACATTCGGTTTTCGTCCTCTCACTTTTGTGAACAACACCCCCACCACGAGAAGGCAGTGAGTAAGACTTCCCTGGCAGAGGCTATATATTCGCGTGGCCATGTGAGAGCATTTCGAGAGGGAGAGGTGACTCTCCCCACTCTCGGCCGTACCAGGGCATTTGGGGGCTTCCGGAGAACTTCAACGGAGCCTCCAGAGGCCCAAAAGGAGCCGAAGAGCCCTAGCCAATCAGAGTATGATGGAACATTCTAGAATTCCAACATGGCGTGCTACTATTGGTCGGTAGCATAATATGTCGTTAACGGATTGGCTGGAATATGATGTTGATTTAACAGACGCTACCATCTATAAATACCCATGATTGCTGTACAAGAACGAAACTTGGAGTAAAGTATTTTCTCCCATACTTGCGTCTTCTCTCTGGTGTTCAAGTCACTGAGTAGTTCTAGCCTGTGAGTTTTCAGATTAGCTTAGTAAAACGAATATAGCGTTCAATCGACAAGACTTATCACATAGTTCTCAGAAATTCTCATAGGAAAAACATCCAAACGCAGAATTTGTTTAGAAATAAAAACGGTAAAACTTACTAGATTCCAAAGTAGATCCAAGGGTGAGCTTAGGTTTCGGTGGTGACGACTCCGGTGTAAAACAAGGCTTTTTATTTTGTGACACAGACGACTTTGAAACATCCAATCCCGATTTGGGAGATTTTTCTTCTTCAGTAAACAATCGAATACGTCTTTTACGTTGTTTATTACCAGTAGAAGTAACTTGTTTATTCGTTTCATCACTGATCGGTTTAATATGATCTGTATCATCGTCATTGTTATCTAAACGTGGACGTTTCAGTTCTACCCCAGTTTCTTGGTCCATAGCAGCAGTGGTAGTAGTAGTAGTAAACATAATGGATTCAAGTGGTAATTTCTTTGATGGTGCTTGAACAAATGTAGCTAATGATTGTGATTCAGAATTGACTTTTGGTTCTACAGTTGAGTGACTTGAGCGTACAGTAACACTAGTTGCCCTAGAAATAATCAATTACAAACCAAGGTAACCAAGTGAACATATTGAAGAGCACATATACAACAATGAATGGAAGTAGGTAGTATATATTCATGCAAACAATGAAAGCTTTCAAACTCACGGTAATGTAGTCTCGTTTCCCTTCGAATCAGCTGTATTTACTGTAGATACAGGTGTAGGGACAATAACATTCGAAGTACGTGTTTTATCAACACTCGTAGAAACAGTATTGTCGACTTGTACAAGTGTAACAGTTGGAATAGCATCATCAGTGGCTACATTATTAGGCATAATAGAATTAATAGAATGAGTTGTTGTTACATTTGTTCCAGTTGATGATACTGCTACTATAGGATTTATTTTATTTATATCTGAAATCAAATCTGAACTATTCTCCGAGTTTAATTTACTTTCACATCTGTTAGATTGAGGTGATGAAAATTGTGGATTGGAATTAGCATCTTCATCAGGACTATGATATACAAAGAAGAATGGGAAAAGAAGACACAATGATTGAGGTTAATAGAAAAGCTTTATTCAAATTTGACTTTCGACTAAGTAAAAACAAATTATAAAATTATTCGTCATTCATATCACTATTAGTAAAGATATCCTTGTTAATATTCGGTATGGAATCGCCTCAGTATAGCCATTGAATATTTTATAGAATAGACAAGTGTACATTCAGCTAAAGAGTTGCAAAAAAGTTAAAACGCGATATCTAAAGTCAAGAGTTATCCATAATTTATCAATCTCATAAAATCTTTCACCATCATTGATAAGAGTTATATGTCTTCCAGTTATCGATATTCATGACTCAATTTGATCAGTTAATTATCGTAAAGAAGATTAACATTTTAATTTATCATCATCTAAGTAATACTCAAAGAAGATATCGTAAAATAATCGAAGAATTTTTGGCGAGACTATACTTTATGGACGATCTATGAACAAATCTTAAATGACCTTGATAAACATTAGCCAATCAGAAGACAGTTAGTATACAGTAAAAATATATTATACAAAACTAAAAAAAATTAAAGCTGATACTGTTCTTTTACATGACTCAAAAACTTCTCAAGGCCAAATATAGGTTCAAAAGTTCTAAAATCATAGAGCATACGGTACAGGAACTCATCCATATGGTTCCATAGTAGTCGGCCGCTGGAGCCATGATAAGGTCTCAAAAATTCTTATTGTTGGTGCCTGTCGGTTCCTAACTCGTTGGAAATGTTAGGGTTAGAGTCTTAACCTTAATCGTGATTGAGCGAAAAAAGTCATTTGAGTACCACGGTCACAAGTATAGAAACTTTTTAATAATTCCTTCTCTTGTAGACGTTGAATTATCACGTCTCCTCTGAAATCTGTACGTAAGCATCAGGTACTGAACTTAGCGCCGTGACCTTGAAAACACGCGAATGCTTTTGATTGACTCGTCCATAATGTTTAGTCCCGCCGACTTTTTTTAAACACTTTTATATAAACGAGATCTATGTACTACATTGTGGGATCTTTGCAAACTCCTGGTCTACTATATATTGGTGTATCTCGTATACATGGTTGGAGTCCACTGAATTATCGTGATCGGTGGTTTCAGAAAGTCAGTGACATGGCTGAAAATTAATCCCGATGAAGTAGATTGATATATTCTTTGTCTGTTCCTAAATTCCGAGTTCTAATACCATTTCAAATTTTTCATTCTATTAATTCATCCCTTCTTCTCAAATCACATTCTCTACATCTAATCTTTTCTTAAACTATCACTAATATTACTACTTTTACGATCAAGTTAACTTCATTTCATTGTGTTCGTGTTGTATAATAACTTCGATTCATTCACATTTGCCTCCTCAGCTAATGGTTGGTTGTTCATGAACAACAAAAAGATTTTGATATTAGAATGTTGATTTGTGAAAAGTTGAGTTGATTTAAGCTAGACTACCACTGAAAACCTGGAGGACACTGCACGACCGTTTCATCCTAGTATGAGGCTCCTTAGAAGAGCGCACCCAAGATTCACATCTTGAACCCAGGACGTTCGGTCTTGCACACGAAAGTTTAACCTCTAGACCACTGAGCCGGCATCCAATGGTGTTAATGTCTAACTTCAGTTGGCCCATGATCCGTCATCGACTCATGAATTCAAGTACTAAAAAGATTTTGGATATGCTATAAGTAGACTAGAAGTTGAAGTACTGAACATAGAATTCAAACTATTTTATTATCATTCGCTTGAATAACTTGATCCAAACGAAATGGAATAGCATATTTCGATACTAAACACACCTGATTCTTTGTCAATCATACTTTTCAAACAGAAGGGGTTTTGTGGATATTTCAGTATTTTCATAGTTGAAATCATGAGTCACTGAAATCTCCACAAAACCCCTTCTGATCATAATCATATGCTGACTAGTGACTGACTTAAAGATATATGTCCTGGAGTTCTAGTGAGAAGCAGTGACCAGTGGAGTTCAACCAAGTCTGTTGTGAGATAACAGCTCACTGAAGACAATTGGTGAACGGTTGTTGAAGCTTCGTAGATTCGTTGGAGTTAGACAATAACACCGATGGATGCCGGCTCAGTTGTCTATCTTTTAAATGTTCCGGCGAGAGACTGATAGGTCCTGGGTTCGAATCTCGAGAGTACGGGATCGTGGATGCGCACTGCTGAGGAGTCCCATAATAGGACGAAACGGCCGACCAGTGTTTCCAAGTTTTCCATGGTGGTCTAGATTCAATGAACTCATGATTTCCACTTATCAAACAACTGAAACAAATGTATTAAACTGCTCCCACAAAACATTGTATTAGCATTGTTGACCTTTGAAGTTGAAAGGTACACATCGAAAATCAATTAGTTTCTTTCCCAACTTATACTATCCGGTCAATTGTCACGGATTAGGAAAAATTAGACATTATCTCATACAACCTTGAACATACTATCAGATAATTGTAGATGGGTAAAACAAAAAAACTTTCTACGAAAAAAGGTTAATCCTAGTTTTATTCTGTCTTATAGGTCAACAAACTCTAGGTCACTCACACTTAACTCTTGCTTATTTGGTTTTACAAGCGTGAGTTGTGATCACATGACCGGTTAACAGTGTTTTCCTCAATCTACTCACTAGACAACCTTGGAACCATAGTATTTATTTACATGATTAGATTCATTAACGTATGAATATGTGAATGTCTTATTAAACAGGTTTGAATAATGAATATGTTGTTTGCTTAGTTCTGGTTACCAACATAGTTTAATTGAACTACAATTTGGACACTATCATTTAAGTAATTTTCAATTAGTTAGACATTAACACAGTTGAATACCGACTCAGTGGTCTATTGGTCAAGTGCTCTGGCGCAAGACTGGTTCGAATCTTGTGAGGTGGGATCGTGAATGCGCACTGCTGAGGAGTCCCACAAAAAGACGAATCGGCCGTCCAGTGTTTCTAGGTTTTCTAGGGTGGTCTAGCTTCAATTGACTTATGATTTCAACTATACATAAAAATTTTCAGTCAGTTAACAACATGCGCTTATACGAAACAGTAATTCAAGTCTCACCACACAATAATACAAAGATATAAACAGTAGAATTCTGTCAAAATGATGTTCTTTAGACAAGCTTTGACGACAAATTAACATAGAAAATTAAAACTATGGAACGGAAATTATGGTTGCCAGAAATGGAATTCAGGATGTGCGTTTCGTCTTATTTAAGACTCGTCGGCTGGATCTGTCTGCATCATAGAGTTTGTGTTTATTCCGGAACTCGAACCCAGTACCATTCGCTTCAAATGTTATCCACTTAGCTACTGAGTCTAAATAACCACTAGCTTGTGCAATGGGATCAAATTTAATTCACCTTTGTATTGGTTAAATGAATCTTTTCGATGATGTTTAGAACTGCCCCCAAATGCCCTGGTATGATAGAGAGTGAAGAGAGCCCGCTCTCCCTCTGCAAATGCTCTCACATAGACACGCATATATAGCCTCTACCAGGGAAGTCTTACTCACTGCCTTCTCGTGCCACGGGTGGTATTTACGAAATTGAGAGGACGAAAAGCGAATATCCGACGCTTTAACCGGGTCGGTCGACACGGAAAGTCCATTTAGAGAAGTTGGAAAACCCTGATTCCAAACTAATGGTGTACATGGTCCCCAGTATCCTGAAGGAACAAATGTTGCATGAATAAATTGTTGGTCACCGGTCACCATGGGACTTCATCTCCTCACGATGCTCCACTGCCTTGTGGATTATACATTTAGGTCAAAGTCTCGGGGTGTGGCCCCTTAAGAAAACTATCTGCTTCGGTTTGGGCACCGGGGTAGTATCACAGCCCTCAGACAAATCAAATGAGATTTGTGTGGCGCATATATATTGTTTCCTACATGTATCAACGTTTATGTGTTTAAATAATAATAATAATAATAATAATAATAATAATAATAATAATAATAACTGCAGTCGATCAGTCTCTTACTGGCAAATGTGCATGCTGTGCGAATTGCTTCGATATTTCCTTCAGTCACTAGCATTATAAGCGAAGGAAATCGGATTAATTTGAATTTGTGCCTAGGCTTTTTCTGTCTATTCAGTGAGTAAATAAAGTATGTAAGGGCGTAACCTTTACTAGGGATTTCATTTCCAGATCAAACTTTCAGTTTGTTCGCTTTTCAATCCAGAAATTTGGGATGCTGTACAGTACCTTGTTTTCATAAGACATATGCATACAGTGTAGGCTGATTAAAGTGACGTCCCTAGTAAAGATTACGCTAATATACGCAGTATTAATACACTAAATGAACAGGAAATTGCAGGATTTCGCACATTTTTGAACACTAAAAAAAGATGATTATTGGTTAACGAAGAGTTACAACAGGAGGTTTTTCTAATCAGTCAACGCTTGTTTTGGACATAATCGAACGTGTTTATTCGCAGTGAAAGAATGTAATCCCTTCTTTAAAAAATTGAATGTTCAACTTCGGAACTTATTATATGAGACAGAACAAAGTCGACAGCTTTTTTTTAGGCTGATGACTTAATGATGTCAATATGATGGATTAAGTCCGAAGTAAAAAGAGACAAACTACGGTCAACGTAACTAAGTCAGTCCTTGAATTTCGAAATAAAAGAAAACAAGTTCAATAAACCTCTTTTAACTATCCGTACATACTTCAATCTTTGAAATTGTCTGAATAGTATACATGAAAGATTAAGTAAAATATGATTTCACATAACATTTAGGGATCAATGTAGAAGACATTAAGAAATTCAGACCATAGACAAACATGGGATTAATTTCAAGCATGAGAAATACAGCTTCAATGAAATGAGATGAAACAATTAAGAATGAAGAATGACTCTTATTTTAGATTAACAGGAAAACACAGAAAAACTGCAATTGCAACCGAGTTTATATCATCTCGCCTAATGTATTCAACTTATAAATAAGAATAATGAGCGGACGTCGACTGAAAAATTTAAATCCATAGCAGTCTAGAGCTAAATGGATTGTCAGATCGATATCACATCTTGATAAACTAATTCCAGGCGTTCTTCTAACCTACTCCTATTCGTTTAGCATAAGGTATGAATAGAAGTTAAAATGACAGAAACGGTAGAAGAGAACTGGACCGGATGGGACTGCCGAAGGAAAGAAAAGCATTAACATCGTAATCAAAGTTTAGAGGAGCAAATTTGTACATCAGCCGAAATAATTTTCAATCATGACTGAAAATTCCTCATTTGAATACTGTGGCCCTCTGTCTTCAGGGAGAAAGCGATTTCAATGAGAAATACATTGTCATGATAAATGAAATACGTTCACTTTACAAAAAAAGATCCTAGTAAGAAACCTATCAGTTTTTCGATGTACACTTCAACATAGTAACCACAATAATAATAAGTATATAAAACATACCTGTCCAGATGACCTAGAAATTTAGGAGTTATTCTTCGTCGTCCATCTTTACCTACAGTTTCAATCTGTTTGGATGGCTATAATGAGAGCAAACACAAATGATAATGACAACAACGGTGCAAACTGAGCAATAAAAAAAGACAATCGAAAATATCTATTTTAGTTTTCTTTTTAAAATGAATTCCAGTGGGATTATGAACTGATCTAAGTTAAGCCACTACTGAAAACCTAGAAGCATAGGACGGCCATTACGTTCTAGTGTAGGATTCCTAAACAGTGCTTATCCACGATACCTCATTAGGAGATCGAACATACGACGATCGGACTTGCATGTGAACACTTTACCTCTAGAACACTGCATCCCCATTCAACTGTGTTTATGTCCGATCTCAGTCAATCCACGACATTATGAGATCAATACTGACTGAGGTTAGACACGGATGGCAATTCAGTAGTCCAGAGTTCAAGAGTTCGTGGGCGAGACCAAACGTCCTAGTTTCCACCTCCTCATACAGTATGGTGGATGAGTAGTGTTTAGGAGTCTGACACTAAAACGTAACGACTCTCCGGTGCTTCCAGGTTTTCAGTAGTAGCGGAACTTAGATCGGTCCATGATTTTGATGAGAGACATATGTTAGATTTAGTTGAGTAGGTAGATGTAGTTGTACATTGGCGAGGAGTTCCAAACTTTCTCCTTATCAATTTCCCAAAGCATATCAGTTTATGATGAAAAAGCAACTCTCAATTTCACCAATTTCAACAAGTACCCAAGTAAACAACTATCAAAATACTGAACTAATTTGAACACATGAAGGTAAATTATTGTAAAAAAATTGACTTCTTAAGATGGATGGGATGAATTTCTCATAATCATATTGATAGATTGTTGCATGGCAGATTTTGAGATCATGAAAAATAGGATGTACTTTAGTGCATCGTTTTGTCATTTCTTTATATACTACCTGAAGATCAAACACTCAGACACCAGGAAGAACTGAATAGCTGTTTTGAGACAGTACGGAATTCCTTAGATGTGTGCATCCTTGCAAGAAATAGAAGCCAAGATTACCAGACTTCGTAGAGAGAGCTTATCTCTCAAACGATTGAGACAGTATCCAATGGTTTACATTTCAAATTTTAGTTAATTCGTTGTAAAGTACTTTCTAGTTTTAAATAGTTAGTTTGTGATAAACACTACATAATTCATTAGTAATATATTTGACTGCACAGCTAAGGACGACTTGAAAAAACCTGGAAGCACTGGACGGCCGTTTCGTCCTATTATGGGACTCCTCAGCAGTGCGCATCCACGATACGCACTCGCGAGATTCGAACGCAGGACCTACCAGTCTCGAGCCAGAGCACTTAACCGATATACCACTGAGCCAAGGACGACTTGAACATATAAGATATTATTTTGTCCACAGTTCATAAATATAATCCCTAAACTTTACTACTAAAACCTGCTCTCCATCATTACGCTAATTGGACAACTGATCTTTATCGATAGTATTAGGTAAGTCATAATAATCAGAGTATAAACTTAGTTATCAAGAAGTAATCATTCTCTTTCCTTTAGCAAATAAATGTGCACTATCAGCCGAGTTTTTACCTAATCAACAAAGAATCAAATCATCGCACTCTATCACGATTTAGATAACCATTTCCAAAGCTTCCAACTATTTAATCATTTAAACATTTTATAAAGAAAAAACAACTTTGGTCATAAAAGTACTGCCCCCCAAATGCCTTGATACGACCGAGAGTGGAGAGAGTCCGCTCTCCCTCTCCAAATGATGTCGCATGGCCACGCGTATATAGCCTCTGGCACGGAAGTCCTACTCAGTGCCTTCTAGTGCCACAGGTGTTGTTTACGGAAGTGAGAGGATGAAAACCGAATGTCCGGCACTTCAACCGGGCTGGTGGACACGGCGCGTCCACTTAGACAAGTTGGAAAACCCTGATTCCAAACCAATGCTGCACATGAGCTGCAGGATCCTGAGGGAACAAATGGCGTGCGAACCAATTGTTGATCACCGACTACCATGGGGTTGCATCTCCTAACTTTGCTCCATTACCTTGTGAATCAGAACTTTAGGTCAAAGGCTCGGGGTGTGGGCCCCTAAGAAAACCACCTGCTTCAGTTCGGGCATCCGGGCAGTATCACAGCCCTCACACAAATTGAATGAGATTTGTGTGGCACATATGTATCTGGTGGTTCCTTGTACCAATATTTATGTGTTGAAACAAATAAATAAATAAAACATAAAAGTTAGATATTTCATATTGCGAAAAAGAAAGAATCAAAGTACTTACACCTTTTGCAAGACACTTCGCTTGTTTATCTCGTGTCGGTGAATGTTTTAATTTTGTACGTAATTCAGCTTGAGTTTTTTGTAAAGCCAAAGCTTCAGGAGTTTCTAGCAAGATATCACTTTGATTCAATATACTTGAATTATCTTTATTCTCATCAGAAGGATCTACATCCGTGGATAGACCATTTGATGTAATTGGACGAAATTTATCTAATAAACTTTGTCCATAAATTTTGTAATGTAATTGAATCTAAAAAGAGAATTGATATGGAAATGTTACTTTTTCGGTGCAGAAATCTTGAAACGAATATGAGAATAATAACAGTGACAGAAAAATGGCATGTTCCTCTCAAGAACTTTGGTTTATTCAATAAAACCGACAGTTACAAAACCAACTATAGTTCATCATGGTACTAAGTCGTGTATAAACAAATCTTATAATTATGACAATAACATCTATGTACAATATGAGCAACCAATTGTTTGACAACACCAATGATATCACAATCAAAGACTGTATTTTCATAGCCTAGAGTAGAAGCAGATGCGATATAAATGACACTTTGTTCTGAATATTTTGAATATACCTCTTTTTGGATTCACTTTGTATTACTCGTTTGAAACTTCCCATTGATGATTAGGACTGTAAATAGACAGTCTCTTATTGGCATATGTGCATACTGTGCGAATTGACTCGATATAGCCCTAATTCACAAGCATAGTAAGCAGAGATGGATAGTGGATAGTAGTGGAATCCAGTTTGATGCGTGTTTTGTCCCGACCGTTGCTGCTACCTTGATGTGGTGGTCGGGCTTGCCTATCGTGATGAACCAATCGAGCTATGCTGGCTGGAACAATCGTTCCTCAAGGACCTACCATACCAGGCAGGTTGGTTGAAGAGCGGTAAGACTAAAGGCACAAAACACTAAGTCGGAAGGTGAAGTCGTACTGCCGACTGTACAGAGGTGTGACGGCAGTAAAGTGTTTCCTTCAGACAACCAGCATGACAGCGATGCTGCCTTCCCACAAGGAGGGGTGGGGTTAGAAAAGGTCGACCCTAAAAATGCACACCTCGCCTTATCCTACGGATATCCGTCTCCGGCGGTAAGGTCCTTTGAAGAACGGAGCTAACACAAAAACGTTTATTATTTATTTATTTATTTAAACACATAAATATTGGTACAATGAAGCACCAGATATATATGCGCCATACAAATCTCATTCGATTTGTGTGAGGGCTGTGATACTGCCCAGGTGCCCAGACTGAAACAGGTGGTTTTCTTAGGGGTCCACACCCAGATCCTTTGACCTAAAGGTCTAATCCACAGGGCAGTGGAGCATCGTGAGGAGATGAAGTCCCATGGTAGCCGTTGACCAATGACAGGTTCACACGCCATTCGTTCCATCAGGATACTGGAGACCATGTGCACCATTGGTTCGGAATCAGGGTTTTCCAACTCCCCTAGGTGGATCCTCCACATCCACCAACCCGGTTAAAGCGCCGGACATTCGGTTTTCGTCCTCTCACTTTTGTGAACAACACCCCCACCACGAGAAGGCAGTGAGTAAGACTTCCCTGGCAGAGGCTATATATTCGCGTGGCCATGTGAGAGCATTTGGAGAGGGAGAGCGCACTCTCTCCACTCTCGGCCGCACCAGGGCATTTGGGGGCTACCCACAAAAAGGTCGTGTGACCGACCTCAAGCAGTTGTCCCTTGGGCACTGCAGTCACGCTCTCAGGTTCTTTAAACTACTTCTAACCCAATTTCCTCTTCAGGTACCTCTAGAAGAACCTTTTCACGGTGTGGGCGACCGGGAAGTGATAACTGCCCTCCTACCTCTAACAGCATTCAAGCGTTTCGTCCTATTTGGGACTCATCAGCTGGATGTACTTGTATCTCAGAGTTGATATTCATTCTGGGACTCGAACCCAGTACTTTTCGCCTCAAACGCCATCGTGTTATTTACTCAGCTACTGAGTCTTGATATCCGCTGGCCTGACGAGTCCCAAACAGGACGAAACGCGCATCCTAGATTCCATTGCTAGCCACAATTCATCTTTGCTTAAAATACCTATTTTTAGTTTAGAAAGAGTAAAGATCCGTTAAAGCGTAAGTAAACCTTTTAGACACACCTTTCTTTAACAAAAAATCCTAGAGTATAGTCTTATCCAACAAGCGAAAAAGGCTCCTGATATCAAAGAGATATAAAAAATATTGGCCCGTATTAAGTGTGATGATCATTTAACATTTGGTGCAGGGTGAAGATGCAACCAAGTAGATCCATAACCTGATGGAAAACTAACCTATTGTATACAAGTCAGTCTTTCACAGTTCATATATTTGATCTAGAATCATGAAAATCAGAGGTTACGATTCTGATGAAAGTCTTAGTCAACTCGTTTATAAAAGAACGAGTACAATTTCTACAACGCTATTGTGATGGGATATTTTGTATATAAATGACATCTTTAATTCCATAAGATAGTGAGCGGTTAAATCTTACGAAATTCATTCATTTACAATGGTAGAGTCGGCGCTATGCTCAAATTATCAATTCAGATACACAAGACATAACACATGGCATCATACATTTTCGCATAATACGACTAATATTTATTTATTTATTTGAACACATAAATATTGGTACAAAGAGGCACCAAATACATATATATATATATATATATATATATATATATATATATATAAATCTCATTTGATTTGTGTGAGGGCTGTGATACTGCCCAAATGCAAAAACTGAAGCAGGTGGTTTTCTTAGGGGACAACACCTCAAGCCTTTAACCTAAAGGTCTGATTCACAAGGCAGTGGCGCATCGTGAGGAGATGCAGTCCCATGGTAGCCGGTGACCAACGATTGGTTCCTTTAGGATCCTGGAGTCCATATACACCATTGGTTTTGAATCAAGGTTTTCCAACTCCCCTAGGTGGACTTTCCGTGTACACCAACCCGGTTAAAGCGCCGGACATCCGCCTTTTGTCCTCTCAGTTTCGTAAAAAACACTCGTGGTACGAGAAGGCAGTGAGTAGGACTAATATACAGAGTATTACATAAAATGCTTTACGATTTAAAAAAACTTACAACTTCTTTAAGTGACCATGGAGTTCCTAATTCTTTGTGAGTAAAACCCATATAACAAACAGATCCATCCAGTGAGCAGGCCATTAATTCACGACCATCAGAACTCCTTCATAATAATAATAATAATAATAATATATAAACAGTTTTGGTTAAATATTCTATGGATTTATTTTTCTCAGAATTATATTTTATTAAAAGAGTGAAGGCGGTACATTGTCTATGACAACTGATTTGAATACTCGATAGTTATTCAGTGAAAATACTGCTAGTCTTGGAGCGTTTGAATCTATGACTATGTCTATACATGCATTCTATACTTGTATATAACGTACACTTACGAGAGGAAACTTCTATGCTTACATGTATTTTTAAGTGTGGACTTGCCTGTGTTTTCTACAATTACATGCACAGCATACTAGCAGATACCCTCATCTATGCCAATATGTATATCTTTGATATCTGTATTTGAATATATGCATGTGAAGCACAGTTGAGGATAGTTTCCACGTTGGCTTCTGGTAAAAGCATTAGCAGCTCATCGGAGCTTTTGGTTTGCATAAAAGCTACCAAAAGTGATGGGGAAAAACTACTGTAGACCAATAAAATATGTCTGATCTACGAAGTGTAAGTCCAATTGATTACCCATACTAGTGATATCATAGTCTATATATATATTCTCTAGTGTCCAGTTGTACTATCTTTTCAAAGCTCTTCTCTACGTCAAGAGTCGTTGGGGGTTTCCCACTTTGTTGGATGAGTGACTGATAACTGGAGTATCACAACGCTTTTATTCATCTATTATTTCGCAATATTAATATATCTTTGTAAGTTATTTATACTAGACTACTTAGAGTGAGGGCAAGTGATACTACTCGGCTGATCAAGTCACGTTAAGGTAAATAGAAATTTAAAAATTCACCTTTTAATCAGTACGTTTTGCTGAAAATATGCTTAACCTATTTCAGATTGAGTGAGTGAAATTATTAGATATCATGCATCTCCTTACGTTGCTCCACAGCCTTGTAGATTAGACCTTTAGATTGAAGGCTCCAGGTATGGCCTCCTAAGAAAACCATCTGGTTCTATCTGGGCACCCCGGGAAGTAACACAGAATAAAATGTAACTCAAAAATCGAGCAAATGAACCAGTAAGTAGTCAATTAATTCAAATATAGTTCACTGTAAAACGTTATGTAACATTGAGAAAAACAAGATTTTTCCTCGATGCATTCGTTATTCTCACAGCATCTTTCTCTAATCTTATTCGTTATTGCCTTATTCATTTCTCTCCAAACTTTACATCTAATTTTGTGTAGTGTAAATCTTGATGTTGAACAGTGTCATTTTTTAATTTGACTATATCGGATCATATAGTAAATCTCTGAAGCTTTTGTGTGACATCATAGATGACAGTGAATATTGCACTTCTATTGGGCTTGATATTTTACACACTCCTAGAGTATGCATAATGGAGTTAACCGGGTCGTTTTAACTGTGTAATTGTCTCTTCAGAAGCTGTTACATTCATATGTATACATAGAGATGGTTAAACTAGAAGTATTATCATGTACTTGGTTCGGGTCGTGTAAAATAGTTTTTCAGTCAATCACAAGCCAAGTAGAATCTGAGACATATCTGCATTCGTCCAAGTTGTTACAATATATCATCACACCAACGTATTAGAAACAGTATTTAAGAAGCTGAATCAATTAGACATCACCTCAAGAGATAATTGATACTAATAAGTGTATCCAGAAAGAACAAACATATGCTATCATTTGAAAATTCGGCTTAATTTTCTGATAAAACAGATCTACGCTAGTGAATGAGTTTTTCGATATATCTCGATTTGGTAAACCAATAAAGCTTTCTAGTCACTCCTACTTTTTATATACATGGAGCTGCTTCAACTTGTATATTTCAGTAAGAGACTCGGACGGCTGTTCAACACAACAACAATGATATCAGTGGCATCGGAAATAGTAGACATAGAGAATATGATCCAATAAGAAGAAAATAATTCGTGGAATTCAAAGTACAAAATAATTTTGAAATTCAGAATGTAAGAGAAGTTAAAAGTTGAATGCGTCTACGCTATTGTGGCTAATTTTAAGCCATGTTACCCAACATCTTCAACTACTAAGTTGAATAATCAAAAAATTCCCAACCACGTAGTCTGAGGTTACCAATATTGTTTAGTCTAATAACTAATAACTTCATACACTGGTACTACATTTTGGTGTGAGGTTCACTAACTTTCTTCTTTGGAAAAATGATAAGTAACGCGACTCCAAAGAATGTATTATTTATAGTTGTTCGGAGTTTATTTGTTAATGAATAACACTTAAATGTCACTTCAAGGGAGATGTATGAGATAGACTTTCCTCACTGACTAAGGAGCATTCTACGGTAATAACCTTTACAAATTATTTTGCATTACAGTCATACTTAGTGAAAAGATTACTCTTTCTAAATAACAGTACGTCAATTGTTGAAGTTTCATCTCACAGTAAATTTACTTTCATAGTATCCAATACTTTAAAAGATCAGAATAGTAACATACCATGATAAATCACAAACAGAATTAGTGAACAGATCATGAACAACAACTCGTGCACGACGACCCGCTGTCGACTGAAAAAGGAAATAGATTGTATTTTTACTAAATAGTGATATTGATTAAAATAAAAATACAGTTTGAAAAGTTGACATTTTGATTTAACCGGCTAAAGGAACAGAACTATTTAGTAAATGTAGAACAAAACATCACTATTAGAGTTTAAGATCTCTGAGTCATGGGTCATATATGTTCAGGATACTCAGGGCGTGCTATGTCGCTGACCAACTGAAGTTTGAGATTGTTAGGCTTCAACCGAGAAACTAGGTGCTGTCTTGTTGCGTGAAAATCTGAAGTTTCTGAGTAGCTGCAAACTGTCTGGTGAAGGTTCGCACGATCAATGTAACCAATAGTTAGAGACTGGATGACATGGCTCAAAATCGTTATCATTGACTCACGTCTGTTTACCTATTGTCATTCTTTAGTTCCTAAGTCACCCTAAAAATCATATTACTTCACTTATCTGTATTTTCAGCTTCAACTGTATATTCGATACCTATTCTTTTTGATTAACGCTAATACTATTACTACTTCAGCTATTCTGGGATTTCGTTTGACAATTTCATCTTGCTGAGCTGATGTGGTGTGTCAACTTGAACTGACGTGCACACATTTGTGAAGTTTTACATTCAATAATACTGAACCTGCGTTCAACCTATTTTAATATAAGTATGTTGAAATTATTAATGAAGGATGGCTAACTAGACACTTTTATAGTTCCTATTCAATTAAAAAGTAATTCCAAATAACAACTGAGATATAGTGAAAATCTTTTGCAAACTAAAGAGGATTGGAAAGTTGTACCGATAAACTTCGAAAACACTAAACAGTGTCCACGTACAGCATTAAACCAAATCAAACCAATCAGCAAGAAATTATTCAGTCACTTGGTTGGACTTCAATAGTTACTTTTTTGGCTGAAGTCAAGAAATGAGATGGAACGTACACCACAAACCTCAATAACTACATCTTTGCAAGGATTGCAAATTTATTTATTTATTTATTTAAACACATAAATATTGGTACAAGGAAGCACCAGATACATATGTGCTGCACAAATCTTATTTGATTTGTGTGAAGGCTGTGATACTGTCCAGGTGCCCAAACTGAAGCAGTTGGTTTTCTTAGGGAGCTACACTCGGAGCCTTTGACCTAAAGTTCTGACCCACAAGGCAGTGGAGCATCGTGAGGAGATGAAGTCCAATGGTAGCCGGTGACCAAAAAATACGCTATTCATACGCTATTTGTTCCCTCGAGATACTGGAGCCCATGTGCACCATTGGTTTGTAATCAGGGTTTTCCAACTCCCCCAGATGGACTTTCCGTGTCCACCAATCATATTGCAAATCAGAAAATCACCAGTATCACGTTCTCTGTGAAATCTTAAGCTCTGATAATCAACAGCTATACCTATGAAAGACTAACTAGCGAATAACTAAGTAATTGGACAATAAAATACCTTAGCACAACAAAATATATTGCACAGTTTACAGGTACTTACCCATACAGAAACAGAACGATCCTTACTACCAAGAGCTAGACAGACAGCACCCTAAAAAACGAGAAAAAAGACAGTTTTTGTTCAAAACCTTATGAATAACCATATCGATTATTTTATGAAAAAAACAACTATGGTTACAAGAAAGTGATCGAATATTGCATACAAATGTAAACATAACAAACGATATTGTTTGACACTAGGTTGAATAGTTTAATTGTGAAGCTTTTGGATAATAAATCATAGGTGTAAAGTAAAAAAAATTGTTTATAATACTAATAATAACATAAATCTTAATATGCAAATATGTAATAAACTACAAAGTTGGGTGTTATTTAACATAAACAAATGCCCTGGTACGGCCGAAAGTGGGAAGAGTCGGCATTCCCTCTCGAAATGCTTTCACATGGCCACGCGAATATATAGCCTCTACCAGGGAAGTCCTACTCACTGCCTTCTCATGGCATCACTGTTGTTTATAAAATTGAGAGGATGAAAAGCGAATGTCCGGCGCCTTAACCTGGTTCGTGGACATATATATCATATTTTTTCAATTGAAATTAGTGTACACACTTGTCTTGATGTTATCATTTATTTTTATATATTTGAACACATAAATATTAGTACAACGAAGCACCAGATATACATGCACCACACAAATCTCATTTGATTTCTTTAGGGTGTCACACACGGAACCTCTGACCCTCAAGGTAGTGGAGCATCGTGAGGAGGCGCAGTCCCATGGTAGCCGGTCACCGACGATTTATTCACACGCCATTTGTTCCCTCAAGATACTGGAGCCAATGTGCACCATTGGTTTGGAATCACGATTTTCCAACTCCTCAAGGTGGACTTTCCGTGTCCACCAACCCGGTTAAAGCATCGGACACTAGCTTTTCGTCCTCTCAATTTCGTAAACAACACCCCAGCCACGAGAAGGCAGTGAGTAGGACTTCACTGGTAGAAGCTATATAGGCGTAGCCATATGAGAGCATTTCGAGAGGAAGAACGGACTGCCCCACTCTCGGCCGTACCAGGGCATTTGGGGGCGAAATTTTTCTCAATTATTGTCGAAATTATAACCAAGTTTATTGAAAATAATCATTCACAAAGATAAAACTAACATACCGGAATCCCTGATCCGTCTTGTTTACGTAAAACATTAGGATTGTAACGCTGAAAATAGAAAATTATTGAAAGGGAAAAACATCACTTAATTGTTTGAGATCAGTTATATATAAAGTTTTTGTGAGTACTCTTGAATTTATTAGCTCTATAAACCTTACAACTAATACTGTAGTGTGGTCTACTTATATCCATATAAGTAGTATATGGTGATGGTCAGAAATAGAACGTATTTTGGCAGAAGACCGATAAGGAAAATGTATAAACAATAGAATTAGAGAAGATGAACTGATATTTACAGAATGAACAGTGACGATTGAGACTATTGGTTGTTTGTTGTATGGTTATCAGAATTTAGTGAGATAGTCTGTAATTTGTCCCCAACCAGTGTTCTTGTTCACTACAATACCAAAAATTCATGGCTGATGGATTAATGATGTATGTACAGAGAACTTTCAGACTTCATCAACTTGTGAGAAGACATTATAACTAAATGTCGGTTATGTGTCTGAAGAACCTTACGCTGATCATATCCCAGTACAATTGAAAATAAAATGTTGCCGTGGGATATTAAATTCACTACCACTTCAGATAGTATGAACCAGGAAAACTGTTACAATAGACAAAGCCGATCACCAAATTAAGTTAGGAGTTATAACGACAGAATCGGCTATCGGATAGCTATCATTTTCTATTCGGAACGTCGCAAATTATGAAAAAAAAATATACTCCATATAAGTGATTAGTTGTTGAAGATGATAGTTAAATAAATTCAATAATTTGACTTACTGCACAAATGACATGTTTACGATGTCCAACTAGATCTAAACTTGGTGACCAATTCGTTCGATCAATAAGTTTGGCAGTGGGAAACCCGTTATTTATAGCATGAGGTGAAGCAAGAGTTGAACCATCTAGACTCCATGATAAACGCATAACTTGACTTTGTCCGCTAGCCTAAAAACGTAGTAATTTTAAAAATTGAGGTAATAGTTTCAATTGACTCATGAATTTCAACTATAAAAGCATTAAGCCTAATCCCAATCCAATGTAAACTTCTAGAAAACCGACACGTTATGCGGCACACTGAATAATTATCTATTTTGTTACCAAATTTAGCATCCTTTCAGGATGTTAAGATCACCCGTAAATAACCTTGTTTTCTGAATATAAACAAACCTTGAATTAAAGCATCTTTTCTCACTTAAAACGTCCTCGTTATCATCCCGAGCTCAACTTTAGGAGAACTTCGAAGAACGAAGAAGGAGCGAATAGGAAGTCATAATCAGGCATTCGAGTACCAAACATTAATAAGTGTAGCTTATAAAATTAACGTATCATTTACATTACCTTTGTAAATGGTTTACTGATGCTGGCCTCTTCCTGCCAGTCTGCAGTACGCCATATTTTCACAGTTAAATCATCTCCTTGACTAGCTAAATAACGACCAACCGGATCCCAAGTAACACCTTTAACAAAACCTTTATGACCAGTTAAAGTTGCTTGCAAATAGAAAGAATTGTTTGTATAACCTGAACCATTAGGAAGTTTTTGACGACACCAAACAATGACAGAATTATCTACACTGGTGGAAGCTAAACGACTTCCATCATGAGACCAAGATAAGTCAATAATATCTACAGAATAAGAGAAAGAAAAACTTTAATATATATTATTTTATCCATATAATCACATGGGTTAAGTTTGAATTATGAGATATAGATGGCTAGTCTTCTTGGTAGATTGGAAACAAGTCAGAATTGTAGGTGGTCTATTAATCGTTAGCGTATACAGGATACTATGTTATTGGACTAACAAATTTCATAACACTAGTAATATTGTAATGAACGAGAACATAAGTAGAGACAATCGAATGTATATGAACACAAAATTACAGAATATCTTAGTAAAATGTGAGAACCACACAGTAAATACTTCAATTGTCGCAAACTTGACTGATCCTTTTGCAAATATCAGTCAATCACTTCACACTTCATTGTTCTCTTTTTTCCACATCAATCATTCTTTGTTTTCGTTCTTTCTTTGATATTCTTAGCCTTCTGCCTCCAGTCATTTCACTTTCGATTGCTGATACATACTACTTATATCTGTCGATATCAGTAGCATACCACAATATTAGTACCCAACTATCCCGACCGTTGCTGCTACCTTGATGTGGTGGTCGGGCTTGCCTATCGTGATGAACCAATCGAGCTATACTGGCTGGAAAATCGTTCCTCAAGGTCCTACCATGCCAGACAGGTCGGTTGAAGAGCAGTAAGACTAAAAGCAGCAAACCCAAGGTCCGAAGGTGAAGTCGTAGTGCTGATTGTACAGAGGTGTGACAGTAGTAAGGCGTTTCCTTCAAACAACCAGCATAACAGCGATGCTGCCTTCCCACAAGGAGGGGGGGGGGTTAGAAAAGGTCGACCCTAAAAATGCACACGTCACCTTATCCCACGGATTTCCGTCTCCGGCGGTGAGGTCCCAACAAGTACGGAGCTAACACAAAAACTACCCACAAAAAGGTCGTGTGTGACCGACCTCAAGCAGTTGTCCCTTGGGCACTGCGGTCACACTCTTAGATCATTAAGACCACTTCTAACCCAATTTCCTTTTCAGGTACCCCTAGAAGAACCCTTCCACGGTGTGGGCAACCGGTTAGTGATAACTGCCCTCATACCTCTAACAGCACTCAAAAGTACCCAACTGTACGAATTGAGGCAGGTAAAGAATGATTTAAATTTGTGACATAGTTGTAAGTTGAGTGACCAGACGACTAAGCCATTCTGTTTGCCAAGAATAAAACAGTTTTTACTTTTCTGCTCTTCATTTTGTCAATTTCATTTTCAGTACTTCAAATGAGAATTGTGGTAAGGTGAACTAGGACAAATGGTGAGATTCTATTTATTTGACTTATTAAATTAATATACAAATTAAGTCATATACCAGGTACAGATTTGTACACTTTGTTTCAGGTCACATAAAATGTGAAAATTAGTGATGCTACCCGACTTTCTAGAATGAAATAGGTGAAGTGATACTCGTACCTACTACAAACTGGGTGAAAGTCAAATGTTTCAATCACTGAGCCATCGTTCTAAGCTAATAAGATTAAACCTGTTATAAGATAACAAACTAAGAGATAAATTCATTATCAGAAGGGGTCTTGTGGAGATTTTAGTATTTTCATAGTTGAAAGCGTGAGTCAATTAAAGCTAGACCACCATGGAAAACCTGGCTCGAGACTGATAGGTCCTGGGTTCGAATCTCGCGAGTGCGGGATCGTGGATGCGCACTGCTGAGGAGTCCCATAATAGGACGAGTTGGCCATCCAGTGCTTCCAGGTTTTCCATGGTGGTCTAGCTTCAATTGACTCACCCTTTCAACTAAGAGATAAATTGCCTTTAAATCTTTCTGGCATAAATAAATCGAGATTTCCTCTCAAACAACTAATGGATAGGAATATGATGATTACAATTAAGGATGGGGAAAATCAGAACATCGGTAACTGATGTTTTATTACATTAAATAGGAATAATAATATTTGTAAAATCTCAGCGAATGAATTTTTTAAATTAAATCCAACGTTTCGCCTGGCAATCTGGTCCAAGCTTTTTCAAGGAATTATAATCAAACATCAAAATTATCGAATATCTAATATCTCGATAATTTTGATGTTTGATTATCAAGGAATTCCTTGAAAAAGCTTGGACCAGATTGCCAGGCGAAACGTTGGATTTAATTTAAAAAATTCATTCGCTGAGATTTTACAAATATTATTATTCCTATTTAATGTCTTACTTCAACTCGGCGCTCAAATACTGTGAAACTATTCGTTCTAATTTAGACGAGAGTTCTTATATGATGTTTTATTAATCAAGCGTTTTTTAGAACCATCATATTGAGTATTTGGTTCAGAATGACAGAGATAATATGAGAAGTTGATATTTAATGCTTGAATAGGGCATAATAATATACTCAATAATTATCCTTTTCAGGATTTTAGTATCAACCACCCTCCCCCCATTAGCTGTGCTACTTTACGCAACTGTGAAATATGGCATTTTAATATAGTGAATACTAATAAACCATGTTTAACCAAATAAAGGCACATTCGCAGAACTATAAGCGTATAACTAAGTCATTAAATGGAGTCAGGAATGATTAAACACAATCTATCAGTCAGAAATATCATGAGCAACTATCCTCTACGGTTGTAGTAGGTGAAATACTTTGATGCATTTATGAGATTGTTCGTCAATATAATCGCGATTCTAAGTCTAGTTTATAACACAGGTAATCTAAAAACTGAAATTTGAGTATTTAGGCCAACTAGGCAATATTTTTTTGAGCTGAAAATAGTCAAATTATGTCAAGATAAACAACTCACCACCACTGTGACCTCGAAGTGTTGATACGCAACGCCAATGTTCTGTAAACTTGGTAGGCTCTTTTGAACCGAATACCTGAACTGGACGAGATGTACCGCTGTTAATAAAATAATATTAATATGATCAGATTTGACAAGAATTCTCTATAACGTGATCCATGTATAAAGTGATATAATATTATAGATGAGGAGACAGTGAACAAAATAAGTCATGTGAAAACGAGAACAGTCAGTCAGTCACAACGTAGAACTTCGTACGTACGTATATCAGTTCGAGTTGCCATAACACATTAACACAGAGATGAAGTTGTCGATTCAAATCTCATAGTGGTAGAAGTAGCAAGAGTATAAACAGTAATCCGAAAGATTAGGGTTTGAAGATGTTATTGAAGAAGTATAATCCAGCGAAATAAATTTGGAAAGAGAAAAAAGATAGAGAGATGAAGAATCCAGAAGATTAGAATTTGGTAGAACACAAAGAGTGGATGCACCTGCACCATTGCAAACGATTTTGAGCTGTTATGTAGTAGCGAAGACATAAGTACGGGTAACTTGCAGGACCTACTATTGGACTATCATTCTTATTGTATAACCATTCGGTAACTAGATTATCTACATCTATATTCATCTTATTGTAAGCTTCATTTTGACCTATTGATTATTACTATATGATTTACTGTCCCTATGTTATACTCAGTTTTATTGATTATTATCTCCCACGCTTACAGCCTCATTTGGCTTGGTTTTGTACAAATATTATTTTCTATTTTATGGTATGATGTGGCCTGTCTGTCTGATATATAAACAAAGTATGCCTGAAATAAACGATTCGTATTGCCGAGGCTGCTATTGGTGTTTTGGACTCAGGTGGACGGGTTAGGCGGATAAGGACCAACAAGGACGCTAGGTTACTCATACTAATCGAACGTCATTGTTACAGTGTGAAAGTCATAGAAGGCGTATTCTATTGGTGGATAATTTAGGCGACTTACGTCCTTGTTAAATTCGTAAGGTCATAACGAATCAGCGACGACCTTGATCAAGTCATAACAATTGGCTACAGTCTAGGTCAAATACATAACATGAGCCATGTCATTCAAGGTATCTAACCATCGATTGCTATCATCTCGCGAATCCCAACCAGGTAGTTTACACTTACCAATATGGCTCAGTCCACTTGCTACATTTTAGTAAAAAAAGTTTGTTGTTTTAGGAGTTCGGTAAAAACAATTTGTCAAATGTATGAAAGCTAATTCATCAGTAGTTAGCTAAGAAACAATCATATACACCAGAAAGATATAGTTCACAAAAGTTATGGTATGATGTAAACCCCTCCTGCTTAAGTAACATTTTACAACCAAAGGAAGAGAACTGCATCTCAAACATTCTTGAATTCTTACTCGTAAAATTTAGAAAACTGTACATTTCCAGTGTCTTTGCTAAATAGAACTGTGGCATCTGATTACTATTAGCCGAGAAGTGGATCTCTTGATGGGAGAATAATTCATTAAAAGTTGAGAGTAAAAAAGTCACTTCCAAAAGATTTTCTGTGGAAGAATTAAATAAAAGTACGGAAAGTTGGCAGACGTGATGGAGACCATTTGTCACACACTCTGACTTGGCCAAATATATACGAGTAGAAAGCCCTACAGAATCTTTATAGACTGAAAATAAACAAGAAACTATAATTCAAATGCATACATAAAAAAATAATATAATGAAGCTGAAGAACTAAATTTGGACTTACGCTGTTTTCGACCATAACATAATAACTTTGTCCATTCCAGCAGACGCTAACCAACGACCAGATGGTGACCAGCGGACACAGTTGACACAAGCTGTTCGAGGAAAACAAAATTTGTTATTGTAAAAAACAAAGAAGTATGTTAACCTAAAGTGTTCCCGTTGTGAATTTGTTGTTTATTAACGGTTATATTTAATATGGGGACTGGTGGAAATATGTATCGCCCGAAGTTACTGGACAGTATTACAAGCGCAAGATAAAATTAACAAGATGGATAACAAGCCAGTTAAAGTAACAAAAGTCTCTCTGTTTGCTAAAAGGATTAAACATAGAGAATATAGTTTTGAAAATAAAATATAAATTTACGAAATGAAGTGATATTGATGATCAGAATCTAAAGGAAGTAAAGGATGAGTATAACTACATAGGTGTGACCAGTTCTGGGCAATGTCATCCAATGTTTCTAACCACTGATTACAGTGCTCATCTTGTTGTGCTAACGAGGTATGGCAACTTAGGCGGATGCATAAATGTGTCTGGTCCTACGTTGTAGCTGACTGACTGATTACAGTTATCGGGCGGAATGAACGCAAGTAATTTAATCATTCAGTAAATTACTATAGAAATCTTAATATAGTCAACGAATAAACCACAGCTATAGGTTACCTTGCTTTAGTGAGTTCAGATAGTATTCTTATTTTTATATTATTGATTTAAACATAAACATTGGCACAAGGAAGCATCAAATATATATGGATCACAGTTCATCATTCGATTTGTGTGAAAGCTGGGATACTACCTGGATGTACAAACCAAAGCAGGCGGTTTTCTTAAAAGGCCATACCAGGAGCCTTTGACATAAAGTTCTAATCCGCAAGGCAGTGGTGCAACGTTAAGATATGCAGTCCCATGGTGACCGGTGAGCAACAATAGATTCATGTGCCATTTTTCCCCTCAGGATCCTGGAGCCGATATACACCATTGGTTTGGAACCATAGTTTCTCAATTCCGCTAGGTGGATCCTCCGTGTCTATCGACCGCATTTAAGCGCCGAGCATTCGCTTTCCGTCCTCTCAATTTCGTAAACAACACCCTCGTCGTAAGAAGACAGTGAGTAGGACTTCCTTGATAGTGTCTATATACACGTGGCCATGTGAGAGCATTTCGAGAGGGAGAGTAGACTCTCCCCACCCTCAGCCGTACCAGAGCCGTGGCTTAGTGCTCAGAACACTTGAATTTCAATCACATGGTTGCTAGGTATTATAAGCCATCACGTAAAGGGGTTAGTTCAAAGTATAGTAAAACAAACATGTGATTGGTTACATTGAATTTTATGAAGTTTATACATCAATTACTATCTACAGCCGAAAACGGTATCTTATTACCTACTATTTACATATGGAGTCCAATGTATAGATTTATGCGAAATTGCATTGAGTTACTTAACTGTGAACTATAACTTTTTGTCGAAAATTATCTCCCACAAAAAATAATATTAAAAAATATACAGAGAAAAAGGATTCGGGTATGAATGCAGTTATTACAATTACTAGTCAGCCCCCAAAATACCCTGATACGACCGATGGTGGGAAGAGTCCGCTCTTCCTCTTGAAATGCTCTCACAACGCTACGCGTATGGAGCCACTGTCGGAAAAGTCCAACTCACTGCCTTCTCGTGGTGGGGATGTTTTCTAAGAAATTGAGAGGACGCACATGTCTTATGAATGTCAGTCGAAACGAGCCCCATATCGTGCATTATTTGCCGACACTGGGGATCGGTTGGGAATGGCGGAGGTGATCAGTGCACGGCATGATGAAAGAAAGCTGTACAGGACTGGCTTCTGTTGGTCGTTCATGTTTTCCTGGATGGGGTCCTAGAGATGGTGCAACACAATGGCTTGTGACGTTATCAAAATGGTTCAGAATAGAACCTAGTGGCGATCCTTATGTTACCTTCTTCACTTTAATAATAAGATGGAACGTAACTTCTTTAACCAAAAGAATTCTTTTTGGTCTTATTTTTACTGACTGAACTGCTTCTTCCATTACTGTTAATATTTTACTTTCAAACATTAATTTTTCATCATTGTTGCTCTTTTCTTCATTATGTTCACCTTCCATTCTCTATCTCTTCACAATCTCATTTTTCTTGTGCGGCGTATACACATTTGGCGTCCCCTCGTACCAGTGTTTATGCGTTCAAATAAATAAATAAGTCTATCAACGCCCTCAGATCACCAGTCAGTGGCCTCATGGACGGACAGTGATTCTGACATTCATATCGAGCTATCAACCTACAGAGGCTCATGAAACTTCCGATATACGAGAATAAGTCAAAAATCCACTTTTTAGACTATACACTGGCGTAAACCTGTTATAAAGCAGAATGTGTCAATATTAACTTTTTATTGACAGTTCCTGCCACTAGGCCTGTCGACCAATGTGGAGGAATGTAACTTTCAGGTTGATAAATAAGACAATAAGTCTGGTACGTATGCTAATATTTCAAAGCATATCAAAGTTTAGGTATAAGGTCTATAGATACATATCCAGGTCAGAAGCCTGCCTTATTTACTCAGGTTTGTTGCTCCACATATACAACTGAATGTCATAAATCTAATAAGAGTAATGTATTTGACATTATTGAATCATTTTTTTAAAATATATTTAGAATTTGACAGCATTTATTTAGTTTAAATCAGCTTAACTCAATGAGTGAGCAGACTAAAGTAAGGAGTGAAGGTTTACAACTGAACAGTCTCAAAGGAGATAACGACACATCTGATTCATGACTGCTCGACCAGTGATTAAATTCAAGTTTGATTAATAAAAATCTAAACATCGAGAGGCGTAATTGTGAACAGAGAATCATGTAATTCTAAATTAACCACAATCTAGACGTCTAAGAAGTATATTTTAGTGATACACTTACACAACATCACAGACTTATCATATTTACAGTTAAATTCACCTTGATCTTGATTGAAAATAACGAATATGTAAACAATGGTTGTCTGTGAGCTAAAGCAATATTAGAAAATACGATGATACGATATCTTGAAACTCCAGTACCATGGAATAATCATTTCCACCTGATTAACACTTATCACTAGAAGATATAGAGCAGACATTGCGAGACTATAATTTATGGACGAACCAATCAGATTTAGGATAACAGATCTTGGATTTTGGCACGAAATTCATTCATTTCTTTGGCTAAGTAGGGTTTCTGAATTTTAGCCGGTGTCATTTCGTGATGAAAACCCTAAATCTAATTCCTAACCCTAACCAGCAACTTTAAATCATAACTTTAATTCCTCATCAGTCAGCTACAAGGTAGTACCAGGCACACATATGCACCGGTCCAAGTTGCCATACATCATTAGCACAACAGGATGAACATCGAACTCATAAAAGTTAGTTTAATGGTGATATTATATAAAGGAAAGGTTGTGTATAAGGACATGGTACAGGAGGAAAAATATGAGGCAATTTTAATATCATAGTTTGAGGGAAAGTGTATACACCCAAGCCATTGTGGTCGATTCTGAGCCATGTCACACAGAGCTTCCAACCATTGGTTACGATAGTCACGCGAACCCCTCATACTGGTTTATAACCCTCATTTAGTCCAAGTTAATCAATGGACACTCAAAGTAACTTTAACGTCGCCCAAAGGTCATCCATAAACTATAGTCTTACCGGAATACAAGACGTTGCGAGAAGGCACCAAATATGTTTATTTATTTAAACACATAAACGTTGGTACATGTACGAAACAAATATATGTGCGCCACACTATCATTTGATTTGTGTGAACGCTGGAATACTACCTGAGTTTGCAAACCGAAGCAGAGGGAACTTATTGCCGTTAGATATTCGAAGAAAAGTTCACCCTTAGGACGGAACTAGTTGACAATGAACGAACAAAATACTAAGAATTATTTCAACTTAATTATAGTAATAAATATATTTTAGTTATAGCCTCACCTTGATGACTGTCCATCTGAAAAAGCTTAAGACAAGAGTTGTCACTTGACTCTAAAGTTGGATCTCGAATAGGAGCCATATTCCACAAAACAACAACTCCACATGTGTCGATTACCCCACCAGTAGCTAAACGTGAGCCATCAGGATGTATATCTAAACTATATATAGGTCGACCTGAAGCGGTCATACAAAACTGATGAAAACTTACCAACAGCTTTGTCCTTTGATAGGAATCCATGGGATACCCAGGTCGGTTTAAGCAACCTCATGAAGAAACCGTGATTTCTGCAAAAGAAATAAATTAATTTATATGACAAGCAATATATCAATCAGAAAGAGACCTATCAAATATAGTAAAAGCGCTAAACACCTGATTTATTTAAGAGAACTTTTTGAAAACCACTTATAATGCTCCTTTTACTTTTATTGATGCAATCAACCGATATAATGTTACCATTTTTACAATGATGAATGCATGATGTGAAATGTGCTCACTCCTGGTATCAACTATGACACCTAATTGAAACATGAATTGCTCGTTATATTCGCAGTCAAAAAAAGATATTCAGGTTCGGCTATGCGTAAGACTTTAATGTGTCTAACACTGATGTTGTTTATGGATAGAATATTGTTTGGAGCAACGATAAAATTTACTGGTTATCCTTAATTTTTGCTTGAGATCATGAATCGATCAAAGACCTGAAAGCACAGAACAGCTGTTTCGTCCTATTATGGGACTACTCAGAAATGCACATCCACGACACCGCACGCGGGGTAAGATTCATGATCTCAATTAAAACTGAACGATCTCCGCAACATATACCGTTATTATTTAATTTTGACTGCACCATTGTGATTGATTTGATGTTTGTCTGGAACGACTAGTCAGGATTCCCTGATAGAATCCAATCAGAATATCTGAACTTCTCAACATAGTTTGGTCAAACTGTCACATATTGATACGGCTATATGTAATTTTTTGAACAAATCCCACACCAACTATTATAGTGAATTGCGACAGCTGGAGTATAGGTATGTTTAACACTTCACAGCCACATAAACCAACGGATATGTATGACTTTATCAATCGAAATTCTGGTCATATCACTGCTTGTACGTAACCTTAGCACTATCCACTCAGTAGTTTTACTGTATTTCAGAAAGACCTTGATTACATCGAGTTCTAGTACTTGTATCGAATTTGTATTAAAAACAGTATGCAGCTAAACCAATGAGGATTCAAAAAACTTAAGTTCATGAAGTTAATATCAAAATAGGATTCAAATTTATTGTTATGAATTGGAAATGGTAGTCAAAGTTAGGCTCTCTTATTAACAACAGTTAGAATGATAGGACTTCAATATTTGTATCCTAATACTATTTCCTAGAATTGGGAGTCTTTTATTTAGCTAAAAACAGTGAATGTGTTTTTCTACCAAACTAACCATGAATTTCAATCTGAATTGCAGATTTATCTATTTGGTAATATGAACACAACGTCAAAAAATAAAACATTTAGATTTATCTAGTAAGTTTCTACTCTACACGATAAGGAACATTGGTCGTGACGGCAAAGATAACGTCTGACTTTACTTGCATTCATTTTACGAAAAACATAGATAACCACCACATTGAAGGTAAAATCTGGATTTAGCTGCAAATCTTCGTATCCTTGGGAGATATTTTAATTATCGGCAGTGAAATCAAAATGAGATAGGTTGACTGTAGTTGGTTAAAGTTAAACCTAGTGAGATTCATACAAAAGTACGCACTGAACATGCTCAGAACACAGTTGGTATTTCTAGTTAGGTTTTAAGCGTAACAAAGATTACATGAGACGACTGTAAAAGGGAAATATATATGGATCGTGATTCCCAGTAGATACTGGCCCATCAAAGTTCTACACCAAAAACGAATGATTGCTCATGTTACCACTGAATTGGAAAGGCTCAGGTTAATTATACATGTTGTGGAAAACCCACTGAAAACGTGATATTTCAAGCAACTGCCAAGGGCTATATTAACTAATTAACAACAACAATGAAGACTCTCTGCAAACAAGCCAAATAACCTGAAGCAACTAATGAGTGTCGTTTAAAATGACCGCAAATATGGTATATGATAGAAGGTCGTGGGTCTAAGTCATACGAATAGAGCATATGTAACATTACCCAAAAACCCACTTAATGGCAAAGACAATTTAGAAAACATAAAACACAAATGTACCATGAGATAGACGCTTCTCAGATAAAAAATACCACCATGACTTATAAACTTTACGAAAACTGCATGTTAAATAAAAATTGGCATTATTATGACACTAACGTGAACGACCTTCAAATCAAATTATCGGCGACCTTGCGAACAGTTGAAGTGCCCAATTTCAGAGTTTGTAAGAAAAGTTCACTTCACTAATTTATTATAGCGTATAATATAGAATATGGTTTTTTACTCAGTAGACTATACCGTGGTGCACTAAAAAGTGATCCACTTTGGATGCTATGCGTAGCTAATGATATCTAGTGAAACCAAATTAATTAAGAACGGCTAACATCGATGGTTAAAACAAACACAATATTGATCCGACAAGTCATGAAGGTTCCGTCATAATTTCTTCCCCGTTGAAATCAATTAACTCTTAACCATAATCTGAGAATGATATTGTAGGGTAACTATAAGTTCAGATGAAGACACTTAAGTACTCTCGTCTTCTTACTTTCTTTTATACGGATAGTGGACTTACATTTCGAGTTATTTAACTATCATAGTTTCCATAGATTAATTCTATTGATTAAAAGCTTTCCAAATTAATATCTAAATAAATTGTTGACCCTACTAAAAGTTACTCATTCCTAAATCAAAATCATGGACAAAAGTGCCAAGAAATACTTTATTCAAACTTAAAGGGTGGAAATTTTTTAACCATCTTCTTTTAGATTATATCCAAGAAATGTGCTGCAGCCTAACTGTTCCAGTAGTAAAACAATTTTTTGTTGATATTTAGGCCTAATAAGTCGATTAGTTTTGTTAAAACTACTGATCTTCATTAATCCAATCATTTTTTTGCCTTTTAGAGCTTCTCCGTGGAAGCTACCTTCCTAATGTCATCCTAAGAGTAGCCAGATATTACCAGTTTGGAAAAATTTTCTTAGTACAGTCAATTTCCGTTCGATGAGATTAGGCCGGTTAGTAATCACTACGAAACTTTGATGAGCTGTTCTGAAACGTAAGTTTTCAAGGAGTTTTGAGATCATAATCAATTCAATTAGTCACGCGTTATCAGGAAGTTCAGGTACCCTTGAGATAGCCCTGAATTTTTCGGCACTTTTCCTCTTCTGACTAACAGTCGGTACTTTTTAGTTTCGGCGAACCATCCTCTAAATGGATATAACTAGAGCATCTTACAAATCACTTTAAAACTGTTCTTGAGCAATTTAAATCTGTCGTAGGCAACGGATTCAGAAAAAGGTGAGCACTTTCGGACCTACATATTTATTTTATATGTATATTGATTAATGTCTAATATGCAATTTGGTTCTATTTTTTTGTTTGAAACTTTTGTTTCAATCATAAGTTGTTGACATAGCGTTATCGACTAATTACCTACCTAGTACCTCGTTTTTTCATCATTCATTTTGTTGTTCCGCGTTAATACTGTTGCTTAGTTGATCAGTCGCGTGTTTCGGTCTTGTGCGAATATAGATAAATGTCTGAAATATAATAACGGTCATGAATTGGAGATCATTTGCCTCGCATCCCCCCTCTTTGTTCGGATCTAGTGGGTGTTGAGTCAACTATCGAACATATATGAGGGGTCTTTCTCGTCCGTTCTGCTCATTGTATGCTTAAGGTCGGTAACGCTTATTAGACGGTGGTAGTTTCGTGCTGGTGGTCACCGCCGTATTTAAGATAGAAGAAATTGTACTAGCGCTGAATAAGTCTTTATTCTGATCGTAGAGCGGAACATTTGCAGCGCGAAGTCACTTTTTCCAAAAATGAAGCTTCTCAACATTCACTATAAAATAATAGTAAATATAATGCCTATACAATATAGATAAGTGGATGAATAGTTGAGCTGTAATTTTTTAGTATTGCCAAGATGTTCGTGACTAACTTGTAGCCAATTGACCTAAGCTGTTACACTAGGATATAGGAGAAAGACACTTCCAAAATAACTTGATAAAATATTAGAATTTCCGAGTGGGGTTTTCAAAACATAGCTTTCAAAAACTACGATGACTTCAGAAACATCTGGCAAACGGAAAAGGTAAATGGTGATATAATCATCACCGTAAGTCGCAAGCTTAAATGCAGCATTATCTTAGCTAGTAGTGAAAGGCTAACAAATTGACTTACAAATAATGAATTAACTGCTTATCATAATGCCGACCGAAAAATCTACAGTACAATCAACTTACCACTACAGTAACATCAAAAGCCATAATTTCATCTATCTCCCGAAAACATCATTGACTATATAAACGGGGTGTAGATAAGCATAATTAGATATGATAATTAGGATTATGTAGCATTATGGTCTACTCCGTTATTTGTGCTGCTCAATAGGCCTAATCCTAAAATTTTAGATTTGTCATTATGTGACTGCCTAATCTATAAGTTCTTACGTGGGAGTCACATCATTGTCTACACTGACTCATAGTATCGTTATCATTACCAATATATGGCGGACCTTTAATTAGTGTTTCATGCTGAAATCCTATTTGCCCAATTATCTTCTGTTCAGCAATGAGGATTGGAGTTAGAATCCAATGCCCTACAAGTGTTTGAATTATTGTGCTAACTAAGAATTATCAAAACAGTGCAATTCAGGCCAAATAGAACTAAATGAGCACAAATGAATTTTTTGTAATCAGCGTCTTCTCAGCATATTCATCATGTGTCCGTATGGCTGCGAATTGATTCTTCTGTATGAGATCTGGCAATCCTTCACCAAAGGACATTATCTGCTCTCTCCTCCGGGTCTTTGAATCCAATGTCATGCACCCGTCAATGATAGAAATGACGACGGTAAATACCAGTTCCATAAGAGGCTGAAATCAATCACAATAAAGTTCCATAGAAAGGACCTGACCATCCCGATGAGATATCTAAACGTAAAGTCATAATGGACAACACCAGATATGAAGATATCATAGGATGACATGGACTGAGAACTAGGAGAAAGGGAGGAGAATGATAACAAATTCGCAAATTCGTGTGCATTCAAAAAAATGCTTATAGATAGGAAAATATTACCACACAAATGCAT